AAGGACCTCAGAGTTCTCTGATGTACAGAATTGCAAATGAGATGTTCCGGGAACCCCCAGACACCAGAAGCATAATCAGACACTGGACACACACATGAATGATAGAGTTGTGTATAAGTCTGAAATCCCAGATTACCACAGTGTTTAACTTTGTTCAGTACAGATCCCAGAGTTCAACCAGCTGACTGAGTCAAAACACTCACAGCTTCTTTAAAAGTCATGTGTTCATCCAATGTCAAGCCAAGATATTTATATTGATCAGCATATGATCGCACTGTTGTGCCTAAATTAAAAATAACTGGACTGCTTACTAATGATTTTTGCCTGAAATGTACTTGTGTTTTGTCTTCATTTGTCATTAGTCCCCATTTCAAGCACCATTCTGCAACAATATTCAGCATAATCTGTAAATCATCTTCATCTTCAGCCAGTAGAACTACATCTGCATATAATAATATTACAACAATCTGATTGTCCACTTTAACTCCCACATTAGAGGTTTTAATTTGAAGAGCTAAATCGTTGATGTAAATAGAGAACAATGTCGGAGACAAAACATCTCCTTGCTTCACTCCAAAGTGTTGAGGAAACCATCTAGTTGTGTATTCATTAACCTGGATGCAGGCAACAGGTGCTTGATAAAGAGACTTCACAGCAGAATAAAATTTCCCTTTCACACCAGCACTTAACCTATATTGTAGAAGTTCCCTATTTATCCAGTCAAACGGCTTCTTGAAATCAATGAAACAAGCAAATGTTGATCTCTTTTCCTTCATTCTAGCACATATTATTGAGGTGACTACATATACATGATCAATACATGCTCTAGCTTTTCTGAATCCGTTTTGCTCATCCACCGTTCCCTCAAGGTGGTGAACTAGTCTGCAGTTTAAAACAGAAGAATACAATTTATACATACAATTAATAAGACTTATACCACTGTAATTGAGCGGTATCCTAGTATAATTTTTTGAAGATCTGGGGATTGGTTTAATGATAGTTGTGTGCCACTGAGCAGGAATCATGCCAATAGCAAAACAGGACTGAAATAACTCATAATATACTGAAAAGCTTTGGAGACTTAAGCACTTTGTTTGAAATTTTGTCAATTCCGGTAGCTTGTTTCAATTTGCATTTATGTATTACAATTTTTACCTCCTCCTCTACTGACAAAATTTTAATTCAAAAACCTATTACTATTATTTACATCAGCTAACATTTCAGACTCCATTACCTCTTTTAAGCTGATTGTTTCCTTCAAGAAAGCATCGTCAAATGAATCATTGCACCTAGAGAACAGATCTGCAAAATCTTTTTCCCATTTATCTCGTGACTCTCGTTATCCCTCAAACTCTGCTTACGGCGAAGCACAGCCACTTTATCCTGCTGGGTTTGAAGTTCCACCTTAATCACACCTGGCTCGCGTCCACGTGGTCTCATCCGCTCAGCATTAACAATCTCCGGTACAGGGTCACAACGAAGCCCGTCAGATAGTAACGATCTCCCTCTCTCCAGAGGAATTTCCCCTTCCTCAAATGGAAGTCCAACAATAATGATGGGCGCTTTGCTTCATCTAGTTTTGCCTCCGTCCTTTCCATTCGCGCAGGAAGCTGTCCGATATCCAAGTCAGGATTCTGTTGAATTTATCTTACTTTACTATCCATCTCCGCTTTCATTTCCTCCCAGGATTCTGCAATAAGCCGCTCCAGCCTTTCCACTTTATAGTCCAAAACTTTTTCGAGTGACGAATGTACCTCATTAGTTTGGCCCACTGCCCAACAGACCTGTAGTATTGCTTAATATGTAAATTATGTAACCTGAAACTTGTTTTTTTTCACTAAGAAAGCCGAATATTGAAGAACAAACTAAATGTCACAGGCCACTTTTTTAAGTTAACTTACATAGTAAATATACAGAGAAGCTATTAAGGCACTCTGTGATTTCAGCGTCTTAAACTGAATATCGATTTATCTAAAAAAAATACAGTTCCTCTTTCAGATAAACATAAACAATACACCTCTGCATATAAAGCAAACACCAATAAAAGTGATCTGAGGGGAAAATGTTCTCCCAATATCGTAAACAAAAAGCTTCTAAGTTATGAAATTGTCGTGTTTAATGCCACTTTTACAGAATCTGAAGCTAGGGGATGGATAGAGTCAAAAGCTTCCTTTCTGGAAATTAAACCTTAGGCAAGAGTCAATCTGAAAAAGGAAAATAAACATATATGAAGCTTGATTGTGCATATGTTGTTTATTTACTTGTGTACATGTGTGGGTGGAAGTAAGGCATTTTGGCATTATGTTTGCTGTGACAGTGATATCTGCATATGGTAATTTGAGTTATTAATTTCTCCACGTTCTCCTCGTTAATGCATTTTTAGTATGAGTGTGTGCTTCTCTACCTTTGCAAGAGTCTATAAGTCTATGTGGTGTGTGTGTGTGTGTGTGTGTGTGTGTGTGATTGTATGTGTGTAAGCATGTTACAATGATTAATGAGTTTGGGAGAGTGCCTGTGGGCTGAGATCAGGTGCAACAAGATTTAACTTAGCAGAAAACACTCAATTCCTTTCCTACACATTCAATTAACCCGTCCCTGTGCACTCCTCTCAGCTCCCTCTGCAGAGCCATTCATCTATGAGCGTGCACATCACTCTTCTACAGCTGCAGAGTGCTCTCATTTAAATGCTGTCTTTTATTTGTAGCCCCTTTGTGTCCACAGTATGAGATTTACGCATAATATTGTGAACCAGTTTTTCCAGATCAAGTAACCCCAGTCCCTCTTATGATAAGGGCATCGTCACTGCATCTAATGCTATTCTTTCACTGTCTCCTCAAAAGAACATTTTGAGACTTTTTACAGTGAGCAATCATTTGCTTTGCTGGGAGCTGAAGATCGGCTAAATAGCCTACTGGCTTTGATTTGTTACCATGCTTGGAGTATAGTTCATCAATTACTCAACTTCAATTGTGGTTTGTCCTGAGAATCAATGAAAGTGATTTACAGCAGTGTTTTTTTGCAAAGAAAAACGACTATTTTAAAGAGTACTTTGTTAGAAATAGTTAACAGTAACATAGCTTATAGGGAACAACACCTACATATAACTTTATGAGCAAAACAAAGTAAATATCGCATGGACCAAATCATGTAAAGAAAATGTGAATAGGGGCTTATGTCTGTATATTAGAGTTATTCTTAATATTTTTGTAGCCCTCTCATACAACTCTCATTTTGTACGAAAGATAGTAATACACCTGTTATCTCTGTATTACAGCTTAGCATGGGAGATGAGCTGGTAAGAGGTCTACTAACATTTTGGATATGAATGTAACAACAACAACAAGTAATTAACTCTGTCTAGGGTGCAGAAAGGCCAAGTCAGCTTATTGTATTAGCTAAACTGTGAGCAAAATGAAGTCCCATGCACTTAGTTATAAACTCACCTTAACCCGTTATCCACATTAAACATCAACCAAATAATGACTGTACCACACAGTTCAACATTTGTAACAGACAACTAATTACTTCATGAGTCAGACATTAAAAAAAAATTATAAAACTTGTACTTAACCTGGGATTTTATAAACTCACACACAGTATAGTTTCTCCCCTTCTCATTATGCTAGCGTCTGCATTAGCTCGTTTAACATTTACGTTTTCTGACCAAAATGGATTCCAAACAGCTCACTTTTCAGGAGAGTACAACAATTTTTTTTTGTTGTGAAAATGACTTCAATAACCGTAACAAACTTAACAAATTTAACACAACTTTTCTCTCTTGTGTTCTCTGTATCTTCGTTGTGCCTATCTCCTATCTCTCTTCTCCCGCCGTCCCCATCCCTTAACACCATGACCGGCTCTCACCTATTGAGTGACATCTGTCTTACCCAGTAAATAACTGTAGTGCATGATGGATTCAAGGACATCTCAGAATTGACAGCTTTTAGAAAGACTTTGCAAGTATTGTTTCTTACTGATATAGGCTAAATGTCGCAATAATATAAAGTCCATTTACTTTTCCCAGCATTTGTAGCTTCTGGTTTCTAGTTAACCGTTGATGCTGCTAGCAGCACTTTCATTAGCAGCCTCAGTGCCTGAGCGGCTCTCAACAGGCTTCAGCTCTACTGAAACTCAAGATTTTTTGGTAAAAGAGAGTTGGATTTTCAAGTTTAAAGGCTTAATATGTGATTTTTTTACACTTAAATCAATGTAATAGAAATCAAGTATATCCTCTGAAAATAACTCTGTGAGTCATGACTGTCTACAATGGGTGTAACACCCGAGTCCCACTGTCTGTGATGTTTTCCGAGTTTTCCGAGTCCTATCTTCACTTTGTTTACATCGCCCGGACGGCCGGCCGGCTCATCCCCTCACGTATAAAAGTTTTTTAATTGTGGGATTAGAGAAAGGAAGAATAACATACTGTACTCACTGCTTAATTGAATGTCACGTAAGCGTTTCTAGATCACGGTAATTTCAGGTAAATTTACATGCAGTGTGAAGATACGAGCATAATAAAGATCGCTAGCATTATATTAGCATGATAACAAAACAATGCTGTGCGAGTTGTTTTGGTTTCATGCTGGTGCTCAAGGGCGACATCTGCTGGATCAAAAAAATGCATATTAAGTCTTTAAAAAAACAAAACATTTTGTGTAGTGTATGGGTGACAGCTGCCTCTGTCTCACTTACCCTGATTTGTCTCAACTTTATATTGATTTTCTGGGTTAAGCTTAACAGATAACCAATTTTGTTGTATGATAATCTTGATGGCATTGTAAGTGTATTATTTATTTGGTAAAATCTGTGGATTTTAATTGTTTTGTACTACTGAGCTCATCTATGACAGGTGTGGTATGTGAACCTCTATGTGCATTTATACAGCTTTAAAAAGATACACACTTTCAACTAAATATAAATGAAGCACATATCATCAAAAGCCTGTATGTGTTGACTTCTGACTTCCTATGACTGTTATTAGTTATTTTCACTGTTTACAGGTTGGAGTTTCAGTATGGGTTCAGCCTACCAGTTTCACAGCTGGAGGGTGTTTGTGGTTGTCTGTGCGCTGCCATGTGTTTGTGCTGTGGTGGCACTTACCTTCATGCCTGAGAGTCCCAGGTTCTATCTTGAGGTAACTATTACAGATCAATAAATATTTGTATTGTTTTTGTATCTCAAGCGTCTGCTGAAACAGTTGAATCTTAAAGAAGGCCAATGTATCATTGTCCCCAACTTTGTTTGCAGAGGATATTACATAACCCACAGCAGTTCACAGGTAATCAGTCAGTGAGGCAAACAAATTACAAAAAAGGGAGCAGGCATTAAGGGGCAATGGTCAAAATCAGGCAACAGTCATATACTGCAAAACACATGAGGAAAGAAGGCTGTGGCAACACCCAGAACACACAATACACTGTCAACATCAGGAGAGGACAGGTGAGTTTAAATAGGCAGACAATCAGGGGATAACGAGACGCAGGTGAGTACAATCTGGACGGGGGAGCACAGGGTGGGAAAACGCAAGAAGCAGAATTTGGAATACAGACTAGGGTAATTACAAAATAAAACAGGAAAAGATAATAATACCAAAATAAACGGATAAATAACAAACAAATGCCCTATTTATCTTGAACACCTTGTCAGAACATAGCCAACAGATGTGTGAGTCACCCAAAAATCTTAAAAAGGCCTCAAATTTGTGTGACATAAAAACCTGAATTTCGTTGACATTGAGTGTGAGGTTCCGGATAATTGCCATTTAAGTCAAATGAGTCATCGTAGTCAAAACGTCTATCATTTAAGCATATCTTGGAGATATCATAGGGTTATATTTATGTAGAGAACTGATCATTATGGATGATAGTCTGATGCTCTCTCTGAGTAAGCAACACAGTTGCAGATACCATTCATTTAACAAGTCTTGTCTTTCTCTCTTACTTTCCCTCCTGTCAGGTGGGGAAGCATGATGAAGCCTGGATGATCCTCAAACAGATACATGACACCAACATGAGAGCACGAGGGCAACCAGAGAAAGTCTTTACTGTGAGTGTATTTCTATGCTGTGTGCTGAGCTGGGTTTTCCTGATGCTTAAGGAAGCAAAGCGGCTTATTTTCTGCCACTGCTGGGACAGGTTTTAACGCTTTCATGAGATGGGATCATATCTGAATTATGATGGTTCTGAAAGCTGTTTTGCGTCCTTCAGGCTTATTTGCTGTGTGAACTGCACCTTGGTAAGGCCTGGTAGTCAACGTGTGTTTCTTGAGTTAAACACTCCTTGCTAACCTTTCAATTCTACTTTTTATAATCACATGCTATCATCATTTTAAAAACTAAACAATTACAAAAAATAAAAATGCCATTTGGAGCCACAGCATTGCAATCTTAGTGACTACAAAAATATTGAATACAGTGTGAATATACCAAAACTACACATATTGTGTTACAATGTCCTAATCCTTTCCCATGGTTATTTTATTAGGTAAACAGGATCAAGATCCCAAAACAGCTGGATGAACTGGTAGAAATGGAGTCAGAGTCTGGTAACCCAGTGTCAAAGGTTTTCTTCAGGATAAAGGCTGAAATACATGGGGTAAGTATTTGTTTGTAAATACAGCAAACGCCCTTTAACCAGCTTTTTATCATATTGAAAAACCTCTGTTTACTGACCCAACCTCTTCTTATACGTCTCTCTGCTCTCTTTAGATCTATCTGAATCTCATGAAGTGCTTCAACTACCCTATGCGAGAAAACATGATGCGACTTGCCATAGTGTGGTTTACCCTCTCATTTGGGTGAGCTTCTTCTGATGTCATGTAGGAAGATCCATCCATCCATAAATTCCATCCATCCACCCATCCATCCATTTATCCATCCATCCATCTAGCCATCCATCCATTCATCCATCCATCCATCCATCCATCCAGCCAGCCATCCAGCCATCCATCCATCCATTCATACGTCCACTGCTTGTATTTGTGATCTCAATCTGTTAGTCAACACCCACGTTTTATGACAATAAGTGAGTGTTGGATCGTATAAAGAATGGTAAATTGATGTTCAATCTCATAATCCATTGTAAACAAGAGCTACCCTACCTGAACTCCTTCACTGGGGAGAGTATCTCACTCACATCCTGGAGGTGGCAATCAACCATTTTCTAGCAGAGGACCACGGCCTCAGACTTGGAGGCGCTGACTCTCATCCCAACTGCTTCACACTGTGCTGCAAACCCCACCACTGTCGACTAGGGGGACACAGCTTGACAAAGCAAACAGAACCACATCATCTGCAAAAAGCAGAAAGGCATTTCTGAGGTCCCAAAACCAGACACTCTCCTACCCATGGCTAAACCTGGAGATCCGGACAATACAAATCACAAACAGCCATCAATCACTAAGAATGTGGTTGATTTTGTGCCGATGATGCAGACACTTCTCTCCCACTACCTGAACAACCTCTGCCAAGGGTAGAATCTTCAAATTTTGCCTCCATATCAGAGGATGGGTTGTTTGGGTTCAGGAGTTCTTCAAAGTGTTCCTTCCACCGCCAAATTATAACCCCAGACTGGAGAAAAATCCGACAAGTGTAATTCCATTGGTCACATAATAAGATCTGACAGTCAGGCCTGCAGCCAAATTGCATTTCTGTCATCCTGATCTTGAAGTTGCATGGTCTCAAAATCAATCACAGTCTGTAGATCAATACCGGTCCATTTGTGTCTCTGTGGGAGCAGAGATAGGAGTGAAAGCAGCCAAGGATTAAAATGCAAGGTGTAAAATAAAAAAAAACAGAACAAAATAGACAAGACAAGTGCCTTTTGTTTGTTTAATGAGTAGGACTACACATTCAAGGGTGGATCAAATCTTTGTTTTATTTTTTATACCATCAACATTCTTTGGCTGATCAATTAATTTTTGTCATATGATATCCTTCTGATTGCAGGTATTATGGCCTTTCAGTCTGGTTCCCTGATGTCATCAAACATCTCCAGGCAGATGAGTATGCTTCCAAGGTGAAGATCCACAACAATGAACGCATTGAAGATTTCACCTTTAACTTTACCCTGGAGAACCAGATACACAGAAATGGCCTCTTCCTCAATGACCGGTGAGACACATCAACTTAGAAGGAAGATAAGTTGATGCTAACAAGACCTTAAATGGCTAGATGCTACAATGTGATAGAATATACATAAATCAATATAACTGTGCTTTTTCAGATTCATCAATATGAAGCTGAGGTCCGTCACCTTCATAGACTCAACCTTTCGAAACTGCCACTTTGATGATGTGACATCGGTCGGCTCCTTCTTCCGTAACTGTACTTTCATTGATGCTGTTTTCTTCAACACAGGTAAGATATGGTACTAAAGGTGCTAACATTCCTTCATTTACTTTGTATATTTGGTTATTCTCAGATTCATCAGGTGTAATTGTGTCATGGTGAACATTTTAAAATGAATGTGAGGAAAGACAACAGCATACTGCGTTGTGATTGGCTCTAACTTAATCCAGTCCTTTTGTAATTTCGTAACCTCTTTTTTTGTATTTCTTGAGCAGACATTGATGACTCCAAGTTAATAGATGGCACTGAGGTGATCAACAGTACATTCACACACAACAAGATAGGATGCCAGATGACCTTTGATGACGACTACAGTGCTTATTGGGTTTACTTCATCAACTTCTTGGGGACACTGGCAGTTCTGCCTGGCAACATTGTGTCCGCCCTTCTCATGGACAAAATTGGACGTCTGTCCATGTTAGGTAAGAATAGAGAAGTTTGTGTTTGTGTGTGCACTTGAGTTATTTGTTTTATCATCGACTGTGGGATGTTGAAATGATTAAAGCTGCAGAAGTTGCACCCACCAATTCTTCATATGAGAAGCCATTTTGATTAGGCCCTATAATTCAGTTGAATTGAGGTCAAATAAAGTCACTCGCAATGACTCTTGCTCCTTTCTCATGCTATGTTTGTATTACATGTCCAACAGGGGGCTCAATGGTCCTTTCAGGCATTAGCTGTTTCTTCTTGTGGTTCGGCACCAGCGAGTCTATGATGATTTTCATGTTGTGCCTTTACAACGGCCTGAGCATCTCTGCCTGGAATTCTCTGGATGTGGTGACAACTGAGTCATTCCCGACAGTTAGGAGGTGAGAGGTCAAACATTAGATGAGCACAACCTTAATCATATTTGTGCAAGGCTTTACACATATTTTAAAGATAAACACAGTCAACTTTAATATTAATTAATTCTCTTCTCTTGTTACCTCCTCTTGATATTTCCTTCCCCAGAGGAACAGGCTTTGGATTCTGCAACGCTCTGTGCAAGCTGGCTGCAGTCATGGGGAACCTGATCTTTGGTTCTCTTGTCGGCATCACAAAGTCCATCCCGATCCTCATGGCCTCATCTGTGCTCGTTGGGGGAGGCCTGGTTGGACTGCGGTTACCTGACACCAGGGCAAATGTTCTCATGTAACACGAGCTTCAAATGGATCAGCTGGAATAAAGTCTGGGTAAAACCTGGGCATGTCGGAAAGGATGCCCAGGGAGTGTTGAGGAAGGAGTGCAAATGGCTTGGTTCACAATTTTTTGAACACCATTAATTTCATTCAGCTAAACTACTTTAAGCCCGCTTCGGATATCATTAGATCATAAAATGGCCCATTATCAGTTGATATCAATACTATTACAATGATTCAGATTGGGCTAACTGCACCTTCCAGTTGGCCAGAAGATGTATAGTAATCTGTAAGAATATAAAAATGTCTGCAGTGTCAGGTGACATTTTACCAAACCATTGTTTTGAACGTGAAACTAAACACGAGGTAAACATTGTGTAACAGTTAGAGTTTGGTTCAGTTCACTCACCAAATCTGCAGTGTTAGGTTCAGAAAAAAGGGGTTTTGGTTTTCTGTGAACTTCTAGACTTTAGTGTGCTCCCAAATTTTTAAGTGATGTTAATTATATCTGTGGAAATTACATAAATTTAACTTTTGGTCTCACACAAGTAACAAACTGCTATCACCTTGGTCTGTCAAACCCTGTCTGCTTGTAAGACCATCCATTCAACCCAACCCACTCTTTCTCATTCTTTGTACTACTTCTCCCGACTTTCTATGTTTTGCTACCATACAATTACTACAGCCACTAGGCGTCACAGCCTTAATGTAAATATGGTCTGTTTTACCTTAGCATAAGATGATTACAGCCGACTTATTTAAAAAGCAGGTACAGAAGAGCCCTTCTACCTCATATCCAATTGCAATGACAATTGATCACAGCCATTTAATGTGCTCATAACACCAGAATTGGCTGGTACCCCTGATAAAGCTGGTTAGCCGTCCGACTTTCTCAAGTGTTTTTTTTGCCTATATATTATACGAGACATCATCAATCATCATATCATACAAAGTAGTTAAATTCTTGTAGGTCATCAGTAGGTGAAGCTACTTTGTGTATGTTTTGTCTGATGACTTCATATGACAGAGTTTGCACAGGTTGGTTGGGTTCAGTGACTGGTTGAACCTTCCAGCTGCAGCGTGTGTGGAGTCATTGCATAATGGCTGCTCAAGCCTTTTAATATTGATATGGTCTTATTAAGACGAGCCAGATGGGGAGAAAAGGGAAAAACAAGCTGTAATGAGCAGTCAACCTGCTGTGTTGGAAGTTGGGAATAGATGATTAGACAGAGTGGTCACACCACACAGCTGTATGACAGCTGGCATGTCCACAGGATCAGCAAACACAGGATATGTTTTATAGAAGAAAGTCAGCTTACACAAGTATTTAAAAAACACATAGGTATACTACATGTGCAGATACATGTTTTAAAATAGACTGATATTAACATATACCTATACTTCAGACATCAGCAATCTAATCAAAATATATTTTTTATATAGTAAGCCAAGCCCTTTGCATTACTTACGCAACCAGGAATCAATAAGGCCATATTGAAAAACTGTCTTCAACCAAGAATTCTATGGTATGTTGTATTTGCAGCTGCTATTTATAATTTTATAATTTTAAACGTTGTGACTCCATGTCCTCCATCACGTGTTGTACTATTTTTTAAAGGCTCTCTAATGAGCTCTCTTTTAGATTTAGCTTTGTGTTGGATCTCGCTCGTGGAAGTGATGTTAAGCAAGACAAGTCATGCTGCTTCCTTTTCAAAATACTGAATGGCCTTTTTATAAATGTGCCTCTCCTTAACTGGAGCAGTCTGCTCAGAGTCATGTGTCTAAAGGATATAAGAATCAGACAGAAACTATTCTGCAGAAAAAAAGACCTTATAATCATGGCTTTTTGGGTATATTTGTGAATTATGTGATCTAAATAGAATAGTTTATTTGGCTGTCAATTCATTTTTTACTGAATCTCTTCTGTTACTCACATTTTGATGCTTTATTATATGTGAAAGGTCTATCGTAATTAGACATCCACTTGTTACTATAAAACAAAATGATGTCTAATTAAAATAAAAAAATTAAAAATATCCCTTTAAGGGGGCTAATTGGTTCATGATGGAAAATGTTTACCGAAGGAAAATATTGTAATTTTGACCTTGTATCTGAAATCATTTGGCAAAATCTAAACTGAAATATATTTGCATATCTGCTTTTTAATAGCAAACAACTACACAACTTTAATATCAAGCTCAGCTCCAATCTTTAGTATATTTTATGACTAAAATCTAACTTTGCCAAAAATCTCACACTTGAAAACATGACCTACTTTGTATTAATTGTTTTGTATCATGTCTTTCAACATTAAACCCTCAATGCATACTTCTAAATATAATGATACTAATAGAATTAACTAGATGGAGAAAGTGATGATACAGTCATGTTGCTATTTTAAAAGTGTTAAGTTACCTCCAAGGATCTAAATGATTACTAACATTTTCCAGTTTTGTGTATTCATTTCTTCCTAGCCTTGTTATATTTTCAGTGGCTAATAGCCTGTGTCTTCCTGCTTTTCTCTGTGTTTCTTGTGTGTGATTGCAGCGTAGAGGTAGTTTTCCCTTGCTCTGCAGTTGGCTCTGTCAAGGCAACTCAACACACACACAAAAAAAAACAACCTGCAGGCTTCTAAAATGGGCCTGTAGAGACCCAGTGTGTGTTAATAATTTGTAAGAAAATAAACAAGAGTGTTGGACATGTGCAACAGATATTTTGATTATATGATTTCAATATTTTTTTAAAGAAAGTTATTGTTCACATACTTGATAAATGCAGATATAGAAAGTAAAGACTATTTAGCAGAGTCAATCAAACGTAACTGACTTCTGCCTAAGAACAAACACTGAAGAATTGATCTGTTGCGAATATATGGCAGATTTTCTTGTTGTGATATATTTTGGAGAAAGTATATTACCTGTGATGTTTGAGGTGTGTGGGGTATTGCTTATATGTACTGTATTTAAGTGTGTGGGCAAGTGTGTCAAAGAAAGAGTTCTGTATGTGAGTGTGGACCTGTGTGTGGATGCATGAGTGTATATACTGTACATATCAAAGCTGATATTGGTGGACGTCTGGGTTCGATGTGTAAAAGCTGTGTCTCCTGCTTTGTCCAAGCTATAAGTCCATCTACCGTATCTTTGTTGTACATCCCTGTGTGTCCCCTCTTCACCTGCTACTCTGTGTGTGTGTGTGTGTGTGTGTGTGTGTGTGTGTGTGTGTGTGTGTAAGCTTGCATGTATGTTAGAAAACGTATGTTCTTTTGTGCTCAACTTTGTGTTCTTATTGTAAAGTCTTCTTCTGGCAGAAAAAAAGTTGGCAATATTCTGATTTTTTTGTTGAGGAAAAATGTGAATGTATCACTCTTGTAAGTTCTGTTCATCCATATTATGGAGATAATCAAATGTATGTGGAGAACAAAGTTGTACAAGTCATCCTAGCTGGCCCTATCATGAAGGGACAGTCAGGATGACTCAATCGTACTGAGGTCCATAAGTGTGATAACTATGTGGAGAAATACTTGCCAAATGATGCCCTGCAAATAATGTTTGAAACAGGAAAGGCGGGGACTGCAGATCATGCTGCTTTTGAACTCATATACAATAAAATTTATGTTCTCTAGCAAAACTGCTGTGCTTTTGTTTGAAAACAATTATGATAAAGCTTCTCACACTGTTAATTGCTGCACTTATCTATAAACACTTGCACTAAAAGTCCTTGTTAAGAAGTATCTCCAACTGCACAATACTATAAAGGATTTAAGATAACAGAGCTGCAGCAATATAAAATATAATGGTGTAAATATTGTTAGGCAATTTAGTGCAATGTAATATAAAACAAACCTGCAATACACCCTTTCTTTATTGTCCAGTGATGTTATAAAATATTTGATTTTAACTTTGGAGGGTCAACCACATTGTACAATACTAGGGACTGTTTTTAATAGTTAATTTACTGTAGCATAAATGAGATAGGATAGTCCAGTACACCAGGTACTGAGAAGACTACTTGCAAGAGCACAGGCGACAGTGTGAGACTGTTTCTGAGGTGAGTAGATTCATAAAGCCAAAGAGATGCTGCCCTCGAGTGGATGCAGGGTAGAAATGCAGGCTAAAAAAAGATTACCGCCTGGTGCGCTTCTCTTGGTTCATTCATAAATCCAATGGTAAAAAAAAAAAAAGTCTACTTTAAAACTAAGAAGATTGTTTAACATTGTATCTTAATGTTAATTCAAATGGGCTAATGGATAGATTTACGTGTGTATACATTTTAGCTGGCCAGAAAGGGAGAATAAATAGACCCGTTATGTGTGCAGTACTATAGTCTACAGCAGGGATGGGGCAACTTTGGTCACAGTATTTAATTCTCACTGCCAGGGGGCCAAATTGTAGGACACAAAAACGATTACAGTCAATAATGTCTCAAATTTAACTCAACATATACCAGTGATCAAATATCATTATGGACATATTTCTGGTTTTCATGATTTCTTGGCAGATTTTGTCATGTTTTTTCTTCATGTTTCCAATTAATTGATGTGTAAAAATTGACCCGAGGGCCACGTTGAGGGTTGATGGGGGCCGCATGTGGCCCACCCCCCTGGTTTATAGTATTGATATCAACCATTTTTCTCAGTGGCTATGAATGCATCACAAGGGAACACGCCAACGCTTTGACCAGCAGGTGGTGCTAGTGACCAATCAATTCATCTCCTGTCCCGTCAATCATTTCACCTCAGAGCAGAGCGGAGCTAAGATAACACCGACACTTTGTTCAGGAGTCAAGCCGAAGAAGTGCACACCATGGGGATTGTCTGCTTCAAGTGACAGCCTGCGCCTTTATGAAACATTTGTAGTTTTTTTTAGGCCCACTTTTCGACATTTCCTCCAAAGTCAGCAAGGACAGTTATATTGTTTTATTATTATAACCAGAGAGGCACACCGCTGACTGGTCGCTTAACATTATCTCGTAAAGTTATTTCCAGTTCAGGCGGGTTCACAAGTGGAGGAAACGACGCAAGATGCACAATGAAGAAACCACAGCTTTACAAAAGCCACGCTATGGAAGTAAGTTGCACTTTCTCTAACTTCTTTATGCTGTCGTAACACTGATTCCTGTCGGATTATGAGAGATGTATGATGAATACGAGTTTACGGAAGGATTTCAATCCTCAGCTATTTTTGATGAGCAGCAGGTGGTTTGGCAGCACCTGTGTCCCTTCAGCTGCAGGATACCTTCAGTAGGTTTGGCAGTGCCCAACAGTGTGGAAATAAAGAAATTGTAAAGTAGAGTAAGAAAACTGTCAACAAGACTTTTCTTAATGTGAAGGACTCCCATCCTTTTGAATTAAAGCAAATGCAGACATATTGTGCTGCACATGCCCTCAAAGTTGCTGGGAAATTTAGAAAATATTCCTGTTCCTTCAATGTACCCAAAACTGCACCACGGTGAATATTTTCTATTTATCTAATGTTGACAGCCAGCGTATCAGCCTGTCTACACATCAGGCATTTTCTCATAGGTTAACCATTAACTGTAGATGTAGCTGCTGTTGGGAAATGTATAACTTATTACATAGTGTGTGTCAAGATTGTGAGTTAGTCAGCTGGTGTAAAACTGCTCCAAAGTCTTCAAAGCACTTCACCAAGTCTGAGTTTACTCTATTTGTCCTGTCACCGACCTACATCGGTGGGCAAAGTACAGCTAGCTTTAAGAAATAAGACCAATCAATTGTGTCATCAGTGCAGGCTTTTTGTCTTTTTGGCCTTCTGAATTTTTAATGACCAACTCTGCTCTGTTCTGCATCCAGTCAGCCCTAAACTTTTCAGGGTTTGTACATACATTGTTGCTCATGTGTTTTTAAAAAAACAGATGAGAAAACAGCAGGGAAAGAAGGAGTTTGTGACAAAGGGGAAAACCTTGTTGGCCCTTGTTTGAAACAGGCCACATTTAAGTAGGTTGGGTATTTACTTTGTTCTTGTATGTGTTTAAACTCACAAGTGATGTTATGGGACCATGTGATGTTATCCCCTGGAAATAGTGTGTGTGTGTGTGTGTGTGTGTGTGTGTGTGTGTGTGTGTGGTTCCCCTCTGCCCCACCCCCCTAAAAAAAAAAAGTTTGCAAGAAAAACAAAAAGCCTGAGTAATAGTCACAGAGCCCATTACACAGTCCACTGATCCTGTGACAAAAAAAAAAAAAAAGCAACAAACCTGTTCTGATTGTTGAAAATATGATGCTTATTTTTAAAGATGCAGACAGGCTCTTCCTGGAAGTGTGTGAGTGAGTCATTAAAAGAGGTAGTGTGTAATAGCTGCATGTGGGCTGATCTGGCCCTGATATGAGTGTTCCTGCACATTTGCGTTCATGTCGACCGCACAGCTGGGACACTCATCAATGGCTGGATACTGTGCTTGTGAGCTTTTTAAGTATATAACACCCAAGTGGCTGGACAGGATAACCCATTAGTGTGTGTGGAGTGTATGTGTAAATATACAAGTGTTTGGCATGTGTCTCTTCTCACATGTGGGAATTATATGTCCAGCCTCTTTAGAGACCTGTTGAACGGATGTCTATGCAGATGACTGTAAAGCCTCTCTGGGGATTCACTGAACAGGATGTGCTTAAAAGGCAATATAGAAAAAAAATGATCAATGATGATCACATTCTGTTTTGTTGCATTTTTGCATAATTGTCACATTATTAAGTGTCATTTTTCGGTGATTGACTAATCACTTAGCCGAATGATCGTGTTTTATAACAGATCCCAGACTTCGGTGTGTAAGGATGGTGTAAAAAGCTGAATTTTTGGAGGAGTATTTTGAACTGACCACAGTAGAAAATCAAACGCTAAAAGAGTATTATTTTGCCCTCTTCCTTGGCATTATGATGACACTGTTTAGGCTGATCAATCAGCAGGTTAAACCAGTTCATCTAGGCATCACTAGAGGTAGTAATCTTCATATTAACCATGTGATAGTGTGACAGTGTGTATTTGCGTTCATATGTTTATACAGTCAGCATGTGTGTGCTTGACTAACTAGAAGTCCTACGCCCCAGTGAAGAAGAGATTATAAATGACATCAATGTTGTTGTTGCTAAACTCAAACCCAGGACAGGATGCATGGTCTATAAGGAGAAGTCTTCAACTTAAACATAGCTCCTGTGCCTGAGTTTGTACTGTACCTCCAGCCAGCCAGAAATAAAGAGATCTGATTGGATTAGGTGGGGTAAGAAGCGTAGGAGGGGGGGGGGACTCATTAAGCTGCAAGTTAAGGTTTACTCTCTAAGCAGAAGTCACTTGCCCTTTCCCCCCCCACTCCCCCTCCGACTAAGGCCACTTTGTCATCGTTATTTCAACTCCCTGAAATGAGGCATGAGATGTCAAAATAAACACCTATTAACAAGAATGATCCTCAAAGCTTCTAATGAAAACCTCTCAGCCTTAAGTCCTGTGAAAGTCTCAAGAAGCAACAACAAAAGTTATCATTACTACTGAGACTGTGCTTTCAATGTCAGCCTAATAGACAAGTACAACTTTCTGGAGACCACAAAAAAATCAACCAGGATAACATAGTTATCTGTATAGTTTTACTGTCATCTCATAGTGAATGGACGTCCTTAATAGTGTGCTTTTTGCTGTCTAATATTTGAAATAGCCTATCATATATGTAAGTTTTAAATACATCCATATCTTCTCTACTGAATATGAAACATACCCAATAAATTGTGAATAGCAGGGATACATTCATCTGCTTCCTCTGCTGGGATTCATTGTCCCAGTTAATTTAACAATCTTAAGCGAACTTAGTTACACATCAAATGTCATAAACAAACAGTGGAATGCAGCTCATGCTTCTGTTTACAGCTGATATATTGTGAATAAATAGAAATAAATGATCTAAATGAAGATGACCGATTTACAACATCCTATAACAACACTAATGTGTACAAACACAATGAGAGCACAAATCTAGGATGTGGAATTAGAGAAAATCAGTCACGTAATAATGGAGTATACTTTATTTTCAGCCATTCAGGATGATGAGCGGCTGTCAGCGGAGGAGATGGATGAGAGGAGACGACAGAACATCGCCTACGAGTACCTGTGTCACCTGGAGGAGGCCAAACGGTAAGGTGGGAGGAGGCCTGAAAAGAAGGAGGGAGGGGATGGAGGAAAGAGAAGGCTAACGACACAAGTTGAATTAAAACAACACCTTTCACTTGTACAGTTGCTTTGTCGCAACTCGGAGCTCTTGGGAATAACTTTGGAGGTCTTCTAGGGACAGGCACTCTGTTGGTTGATGTTTAATCATGTTGACCAGTTTGGTATTACAGCTTTGTGTTTAAAGAACATTATTATGCAGATATAAACACAGCAGGGTGTGGTGCAGAAATAAGTATGCAGAGAAGTACAGTTGAAAATGATAGGTGTGGGAACAAACAATGTGTGGTTATCTTTGTAGAAACATGGAGTTATAATGAGGGGTAAAAGCAGAATCTGCATAATCATGAGATGATGAAATGGAGCTGGAAGCATTCATCAAGAACGTGTGTGATTAAAACAGGAGCTGCTGACTTAGTGGAAAAAGTGGCTCCCTTTCAACTGTGCCCTGAACCTCTGATCATGGAAAGGATCAAATAAGACACTTAAAATGTGGTTAATAATTAGAAGAATTTAGTTTGGTGAATATTATTATTTCCGTGAGCTTGCAATGATTTCCACAAGAGAAAATCTAAACACAATTTGAACAAAATGAAGACTCTTCATTGCGAGGTGCATGAGCAGAGCTAAAACTTAACCACTTCCTGTCTTCTACACATGGGCAACTATCAGAACAAGCAGGAAGAGGCGGTGTAACCCTGCTTCTTTTTACCGCTCAGATTTTGACAGCTCTGCGCAGTCACAGAGAGAGATCGATTATCAGGATTGAGTATTTATCCCTTAAACTGATGTAACCTTTGTCGTAAAATGATGAAAAAGCAAATACGCTAAAGACACTCGATGCACCTCAGCATTTTCTCACATATTATTGTTTAACAGCTGAACTTGCACTTTGACTCAGTAAAGAGGACACTCTTATACAACTTTATATGCCTTTGTCACGGGTAAGTAAGGGTCTACAAAGACAGGTAGGCCAGGCTAGGCAAGGATTCAGTCCTCAACCATAACTGGACCACACCTGGATTATGGTTTCTTTTCCTGGTTTTCATTGTGCTTATGTAAAGAACTGTAAGGCAAGTTGCACTGTGGCTGTTTTTAGGAACAGATACTTTTGATACTTTTGTAACACTCCAGTCAACCTGAAAATGATTTTTATTTAACACACACATATTACAGTACTCACACTTTTACCCTCTTTCTATTCAAGTTCTGCTGACAGAATAGAACCTCTATTCTGGGAAAGTGTCAAATTAGATTAGGATTACGACACACACCTAATGCAGCTGTCAACTACAGAGAGCATGGGATTAGGATTTTTTTGCTCTGAGGTCAGGAGTCAGCAGTCACTAAAACAAGCCAACCATGCAGAAACAGCTGATTAAGTAAAACAGGGATCCAATCATCAAAAAAAATAGCTTGATTATCAGATCTTATTTTGTTTGTAGAATTAACCCAAGTCTCAGGAAAGTCAGAGTAAGTTACTTAGTGTTTAGTGAAATGGTGTAAAAACCTTAAATTAACTTAATTAATTCTTAATTAATCGGAAACTGCTCAGTGAGTCCTTTCCAACATGATCATCAACAACAGTATGCCTTTAAGAGAGCAGAATATTAACTTTTCATAACAGGAAAAGCCAAAGTGTTGCTAATTATACACTTTTATCCCATTTCACTGCGATGGATCGGATCAAACAAAGGAATACTAACCGGCACTTCCTCAATGACAACATGTGTCGTGACCTCATGTCATTGATATCAGGTCAACTGCAGGATGATGATGCATGAATTAAAAAAAAAAAGTTTTTTAAAGTCCCCTTGTGCGCTTTGTAGCGGGCTTAGATGACCGTACAGTTGTTGTAGTTCACAGAGGATAATATTAACACGGGCAGTGCATTACATTATCTTCCTTAACCACTTCCAGGGACAGTGGGGGTCCACAGTCTCTGGCGCCCTAATTTGGAGGGGCCTCAAATTCCTATTACATTAAATTAAATTGTTTTTGAAGCCCTGATCCAGAGCATATTATGGCATTAGGATCTAATTGAATGTCAGACCCTAAAAGCCTTGCTGAATTTCTCCCCTTCACACACATGGAGGCAACTACACAGCCACAGCCTCATGACGAGCATGACTAAACTACATGACGCAAGTATCAAAAGACACTGTGTGTGTATACAGAAAGAATGTAGCCGCAAGCAGAGAAGTTAAGTTTACTATCAATAATGTGCTGTTGACTGGGACAGTTTTAGGTCTCAGAGTCCAGAAAGCTTTGTTTGGTTAATCCTGCTGGGGTGCAGATTGGACAATGACAGGAAAGCCTGCTGTGAGTGGCTGTAAACAGCAGTGCTAGCCCGTCCTGCTTCAAGAGACAAGTTCCCCCAACATTGTTTTAAGAACAGGAAGTGAAGTTTCACAGGAGAGCCATGTCACCAATGCAGGAAGTCTCTTTGACTGTGTTCCCGCCAAATGTCTTATTTTTTGTTGCCGCAGTTACCTTGATTGTCAGCTGCATTTTCTCCACTGAGTTGATATGTCACTTTTAGGGAGATATGATAACCCCGCCAGTTCAACTGGTTGGGGGAGCCATGCTGTGTGTGTTTTTGTTTCTGTGTTTCTGTGTGTTCATGTGTCTTCTAAGACTTGTACCGTCAATAAATGGCAAACAGGCATCAGGCCAAAACATACCTGCTCATTTGCTGTGGCTCTGATAAGTGCAATATCCCTGGTTAGGCTTGGTAAAGCTAGAAAACCAAAACACACTCTTGGGTCTGTTGAACAAAGAATGAACTTGTTAGAGTTTGGTTGTCAAAGATCAATTTCATTGTGATCTAATGCCTATTCAAGGGAATGTTATTATGTCTGGTGTGTTTTGTTTTTATTTATGTACTTTATTTTGATCCATCTGAGGGAACAAAGCAGTCTGTGATCGTTTACAGAACAATCAGTCCTTGTTCTACCCCTGTTTAAAAAAAAAAAAAAAAATGAAGGCGCACACTCAGTGTTGTATTCAACATCTTTACTGGTTTAAAAAAAAAAAAAGATTTACCTGAACAACAACAACACAGCACTTCTCTTTTTTAGAAATATTGACTTATGTATAAATGTATACATACAATTACTATTTATAAACAATCATTATCATCATTGGGTCACATCATTGGTTCCTCATGTGGCTTTATTCCTCAAGGTACCTTACCCACACACATCACTGGGTTTGTGTTGATGTTTCATGGCCCGTTGTGTTTGTCTTAATGTGCTGACGCATATTTGGGCAGATGGGATCCTTTGATCGCCCACACACTCTTAATTAACCTAAACAAGGTGCCTGTGCACTTACATGAGGGAGGCTTTATTGTTTGCAGAGTAAGGTAGGAGTTTCTACTATTAATTAAACCCTTGAACAAAACACATAAGGCAGTTTAATTACTGAGCAAAAACTAGGTGAAGCCACGTTCGAAAATATGTTGTCATTTCCAGGCAGTAGGATAATGTGTAACAGAGTCTGAGACCATTATAATTTACCGTTTTCACAAATCATTAACAAGCTCTGGATTTTTCCAGATTCTCTGGAAAAAGTCTGGCAGTGATGAGTCTTAACTGCTCCTGAACCACAGACTGTATATACAAATGAACAGCCTGCCTCAGCGTCCTCCCGTTGAACAGAATGGGAATGTTTCTGCTAAAACACACATTTGACTCACTGATACAACAGCAAAGATCCCTCAGGTCGGTACAGTCCACAGCGGAACAGATTCTTTTGGCGGTTAAAAGCAGACACTCACGGTTATGGAAGTTCACTGACTGTTGTGTCGATTTTGTTATGATTTCTCTCGAAGTTTCTGCTGCACTCTGCTAATCTGGTGCGCACAGTGCCGCAGTTAAAAAGAAACTTCTCAGAAGAAAATGTTACTTGAACACAAAATGGCATAATAATAACTATCATGACGAAACCAGATTTGAGAAAAATGTATCTGATGTGCTTTTTATAGTCTGACCCATGGCTTATCTATGAACATAGAGGAGGCAGGGTTTGTGACCTATACTGCAGCCAGTCAACAGGGGGAGCTCCTAATCCTTTGGCTTCACTTGGTGTAGGTATTCTGAGGTCCATTCCCTACAGTCTATGTCCTCAATCTTTTCAAAGGAAAATTACACGAGTTTAAAAAAGGTCAAAATGATTTGGACATAAACTGCGTTTGCTTTGTTCAGTTGACAATTTCAAAGGTCTGTCCTAGAGGGGAAATCAATTTTCTTGTCATGATATCAATTACTTTGGAAGACTCAAACTCATAAACCTTGAACAGTGATGGTAACCCTCACATGGTCAAAGGTCAAACTAAAGTCTCCACAGCCTCCTCCCAAAAGCATGCTGGGCTCAGTGTGGGTGCTGCTGTATCAATGCCCAGTTTTCTCCAGCCCACAGACCACTTTGTTGCTCCAAATCTGAGCTGATAGAAATTTTGAACAGGTGGAGCATTCACTGAGTTTTTAATAAAATGATATATTTAATCAGTGTATTATACACAATGTCATCTTAGCTCCTAGACAGAAATAAAGGTAAACAACATTATTATTCAACAGCTTTCAGAGATACAGATTATATATCAGAAATTGAACAAGTGTTTGCTAAAAAAAATATTAAATATTAAAATACTGTACTGTCATAATGCAAATGCCACAAATGTCAACATTTATTATGTAAGTATGTTTTAAGTCTTTGACTTTCTGTTTGTAATTTTTTGTACAAATCAATGAGGGCAGAATTTGGAAATATATAAACAGAGTGGACTGATGCTTGTATATAAAATTATTGTAACCAATGTATGCCATGGTATGTATGTTAAGCTTAGTTAGTTGAAGTACAGTTTGATGTGATGTTAACCACTTTTAAGCTTTACACTATTAACACGCTTACTTTGACTTTAATTCTGTTAGGAATTGTTAAGACTGGAGACGTACTCCTCAAAAACCACTCTAAAGCTGATATTAAAACTGCTTATGAAAATCCTCTGCCTGCCCTGAGCTTGATTCATGTGTATTTCAGGTGGATGGAGGCCTGCTTAGATGAGGACCTGCCGCCTACAACAGAACTGGAGGAGGGGTTGAGGAATGGTGTCTACCTTGGTAAACTTTCCAACTTTTTTGCCCCCAAGATGGTGTCAGAGAAAAGGATCTACGACAGAGACCAGTCACGCTATAAGGTACAAACTGCTTCTGTCTTTCGTTTTCAGGTAAAGTCTGAGTTATACTATGTGCATATTTTCACAAGCCGTTGTCATCACGGAGAGGAAGGTCGTTACCAGATCTGTCAGGCACTTCCTGACAGTTTTTCGTAGTTTCAGACAAGAAAGGGAGAAACGTGGCAGGGGTGTGTTTTAGCTTCACTGTAAAAAGTGAAAGTTTGAGCTCATCTTTGCAGTTTTAAAGTTATAATAACTTCAGGACTCAGAATGTGTTTAGTGCTGCATTAGTTGCACACACCATAAAAACCCTCTCAGTAGTGAAGTATTTCAGCATTTCTCTGGTACATAATTACACACTGCTTTATTTCTTTGCTTTTGCTTGTGTTCTCCTCTTTAGGGCAGAGGGCTGCACTTCAGACACACAGACAACACAGTGCAGTGGCTCAGAGCCATGGAGTCAGTTGGTCTCCCTAAGGTAAGGGGCTCTCACTGCAACCACTCATGCAGACACATGAATCCTCTGCAACAAACTTGTATGCAAATATGAACATTATTAAGACCAATTTATGTATGCTTTCAAAGTTGTCTTATCTTAAGAGAAGACATTTTATAATGAATAATTAATTCAAGAGTTGTGAACAGTCTTTACGAAGTCATAAAGATCACTTAAGCACCTCTGGGAGACTTCGTTATAGATTACATTTTATCAAGGACATAAAATCTGGAATAGAAGGAAAGAGAAAATGCCGTTATTCAAATGAATGCAAAAGTCTGCTCGTCAACTCAACATCATGCATTTCCAGCATACCAAGCAATCGGATGTGTTACTTTTTGCACCAGGTTTATATTTTTTATTTATCATGGTTACAATTTTTCTCTGTTTACGAGCTCTATGAAAAAAAAAAAAAAGAAGTTAAATTATTATTTTTACCCGTGTGGCATATTTTGACAGAAAATGTGTGTGTGTGACTAAATACTGAGGATGTGTAGTTCAAGTAAACAAAAACCACTGAACACTTTGGAGGCCTTGTCTTTGTCAGACATTAATCGGCCTGTTTTGCATGATTACATACTTCAACTACAGAAGGTACAGTCCGGGATGCTCAAATTTGACTGCCAGTTGTAAATTTGTTATCCAAGTTTGAATGATTCATGCACACAATTGTGGCAATTAAAACTGTATTGAGGCTGTGGCTGTTCTTACAGAAGAGCATCAGCCTCATTACATATTTCATGAGACGACAAAAAAATTATATGTAAACTCAAGGGAAATTGATACACTGTACACCCTCATTTGGGGTTGCCTATTTCATGTTTTTTAACAAAATCATGATTTTGAGAACATTATGAAATATGTCATGATAAAATCAACATCCAAAGACTTTTTTCAGAGTTGGCTCAGTGTTTCAGAAACTGATCTTTTGTGTAAATGTATGATGTTATGTATTGAATAGTGGCCAAACCTTTGCATGAGAGATGCATGTTTCTAACAGTAGGACTACAAGATTTGTGCCATGAGCTCTGATAAAAGGTGCATGAACTCTGAAACATAATACCCTGCAGTGGAAAAGCACCGGAAGAAATTCTGCCTCTGTGATTGGTTGGGATTCTACTGTTGATTCAGCTCTGTGGTCCTGAAAATGATGTGCTTCACAAAGCTGTATTTATTGTAGTGCAGTTACAGCAGGAGGCATTTTATTTGACTAGTGTTCCTGTTATTTTGTCCACTCCCTTCAGCTTCTCATGCAGCTGAAGTTTAAAATCAGAAGAAACAACTTGATGGATTCTGTTCTAATGTTCATATAACATTTTGGTGATACATATAAATGAAGAACAATAAATATCTGCTGTGGTTTTTGCTTTCAGATATTTTATCCTGAAACGACAGACGTGTACGATCGAAAAAACATGCCCAAAGTGGTGTACTGCATACACGCACTGAGGTAAGAATAGAAGGGTTTCACATACAAAGTAGTGATTTTCTTTGTTAAAATTTTAGTGATTTCTTTCTTGTCTCTGTTATTTAAATTGATTTTGATGAACACATCTGTAGGATCAAGGCAGCCTATGTAAAACTCTTTACAGCATGTAAACCAGGGCTTTCTGACACACTGTATGTGGTTTTTAATGCTGTTTACTTACAGTCTCACTACTGATAGATCACTCATCCTAATCTTGGCTTAGTGATATATGTGATAAGACTTCAAAAGAAAAAGTTTGTGGTCCAACTGTAAAGGGCGTGTGTTCCTGCTTTACACAGTTTAGATTACTTTGAATGAAACTTAAGAGGCAATTTTTTCTATCTGACCTGTCCAGTCAGCCAAACACAGATTAGGGAGTGGTAGTGTGAGCTGCTGGGATTGTTTTCTCTCTTGTAGTCTTTCAGTCAGGTCCTGAGAGAATTGGTTTCCTTCCCTGCTTATGCTCACACGTGCTCTTCCTTCCTGCTTATCCAGCTTAATTCCAACTAGGACCCAGAGCACTCCGCTTCCCCGGGTACAAACACATGCAGACATGAAGGCACAACAGGAAGCTGCTTTTCACTCAGTGTGGTGGAAAATGAAAATATAAGACGAAGCCATATGGAAAGAACATAGTACATTTACTATATACATGTAAAACCATTAAGACAATATGGTAGAGATGGAGACCTTAATGTGTTGTCGAAAAGAAAAAAGGAAGCATCAAAATAAAAGGGGGGTTACACAGTCTGGAGATTGCAAGTTTCTCACAGCTTGGCAGCTGAATGCCTGGCTCGTAATTGGCCACCTGTGTTATTCCCAGTCAGCTGTTTCTGTGTTTGTATTTTAGCTGCATGCATGTTAAAAACATTTGCATAAGCACAGTTTGGATAGTTCTCTGAATTCCAAGGGCAGAGTGCATTTTATGTGTACACATACTGGGACCAAAGGACAGACTAACCAGCTACTACTGCTTCATTAACTGCTGTGTTCATGCTAGACCTGCCTTGAATATATCTATAATTCATTACCTTTATCAAGTACCGGCAGATGAAAGTTTTATGAAGTATCCAGCAAGCTGCTTGTTGAATTCAGTGTGGACTGAGCCTGCTGGTTGAGTCAGAGTGCTTGTTGTAATGTGAGCCAACACTTCCCCCCTGTGGTGCAAGTGTGACATGTGGGAAATGATTGGCCATAAGAGCAGTTATAAAGAAAACTCCTGAATAAGAATTCTGATAATGAAATGTCTGCTATGGCGATTTAAAGTGCTCTAGTGTTTTTTAAGGGGGGGGACTAAATATTTTGTCTCATGTTGTGTTTTACAGCTTGTACTTGTACAAACTTGGCATTGCACCACAGATCCAGGATCTGCTAGGGAAAGTGGCCTTTACAGGTAAGAGCAAAGAAAATCAACTTCTCTTGAAAACAAAGCACGGGAAAATTTGAGGTAAACATTCTGAGCTTGATTTCCTCTTTAAGTAAGAAGGAATAACAAGGACCTTCTCATTGATTGCTTTTTTAAAATGAGGGATGATCACCCTGAGGCTTTTTAAGAACACTGATGTGTACAAAACTAATGTGCGTGTGATATTTTAATGAGTATTCTCTTTGTGTAGTGTTTACTTTTCTTGGTGGTATTTAATTGAAAATAATGAAAGAGTGTTGTCATGTGCCGTCAAGCATCAGTATACCTCGAAGCCATTCAAATGAATCTGAACAGGATAGTTAAAGTTCCAAGCTTTTTGACATTGAGTTGTCCTGAGTAAGCCTCAGTGCTTTCACGTATGAGTCACTTCAGTGTTGTTCACCTAAATGTGAACAAACTCACATTTATCTTCCATGTTTCCTTAGAATGATCAAGTTTGTCTCAAAGTCTTTAAAGGTTTCCTGTGTAGTTATAGACCTCAAGTATCTCCATGAAGGACATTTCCCAAGCCTCTTCTACACTTTATTTGACAAGATTTGCAATTTAATTGAAAGGAAAAAAGTGTAAATGTTTCAATGACTCCTCCTTCATTTCAGTTGAAATGATTGCAGAGTTTTGACAGTTGTGTTCTGCATGCAGTTCACACACTGAACATGTTAGAATAACACAACATTAGAATATGATGTTAATCCGTTGTAATCGCAGCATTTAATATTTGTTCTATATCATTGGACCTCTGTCAAATAACAGACAGTAGATGAAGTTCTTGTTTCTTTCAATCAGAATGACTTAATTGAGTCAAAGCAAAAAGTGTTAAAAGGAATTCAGTTTTATGTCCTGCAGTACGTTTGAGCTCTTTACTCTGCAACACTAAGTAACACCACATTTTCAATGAATGTATCCATCCTTCAGAGGAAGAGATCAGTAACATGAGGAGTGAGCTGGAGAAGTATGGCATTCAAATGCCAGCTTTTAGTAAGATTGGAGGAATCTTGGCCAACGAGCTGTCAGTGGATGAAGCTGCCTGTAAGTCCTCTGACTTTTTAACTCTCTAAATCCTCAATCCTGAATGATGTAGAATTAGCATCGAATATCTTTTGCCTTCACTAAAATACTGGCACACATTCTGCTGTCCTTTAGTGCATGCTGCTGTGATTGCCATCAATGAGGCTGTGGACAGAGGTCAGGCTTCTGTGACAATGGGAGCCTTAAATAATCCGAACGCAATGCTGAAGAACACACAGCAAGCTTTGGCCCAAGACTACCAGGACACACTGAGCCAGGCCAGGGCTCGTAAACAGAATCAGTCGTCAGGCGGGGTGAGAAGCCTCCCAAACACTCAAGTGAAATCTTATATTTCAGTAACATCCTCTTTTGTGTAATGATGTTTTGTTCGTTACTGCGTAAAGGACTTGATTAGTGTGTTTAAAATAAGTTTATAGAATTTCTTTATTGCTTGCCTACTCGTGTATCTCTGTCATCGTGCATCTCAGTCATTTTCTGTATTAGTCAGATATTTGGATTTTGATGTTTCTTACAGTGTCTTAGACAGACAAAAATCTAAACTGCAGAGATGTCATCACTAAGGTCTGAAAGGGGATGGTCCGCACAGTCTCATTTTGGTGCAGCCAGCACATTCCAGTGTCTGCAATGTCAGCTGTCCTTAACCAAATACACAACAACCCACCCCCGCCCCCCTGCCTCACAATCTCTTTACAAATACTGTACATACAGAGACCACCTAATGCCTGAAACAGGAAATGTTAAATATGCAACTTCATCAGTATGAGTAAAAAATATATGTGACCAGGTACGATTTAATATGCAAAATGATAAACATTTAACATTTGTCTCTCCCTTAGCGTTCCTCAATTTCTACTGAAGAAAGAGATGTTTATGAGGAGCTGCTGACTCAGCAGGAGATCCAAGCCTCTATTGACTTTGTTAACAGTAAGGAGTTTCCCTTCAGACATGACCCTTAACATACTTTTATTGTGAAATACTGTCAAGTACGGTTAAAACGATCCTGTCGTGTTGAAGCTGTGGACGTCTATGAACTGTGAATATACAGTATTGTTAATAAGAGCTGTTAAGTCAATCTAGAAATAAAAAAGGTTGGTTCAAAAATGTTTCTGAAGGACTTAAAAAATAGATTCATTAACCCTGATGACCTTTTGTTTTGTTTTTTCCGTCTCCAGTCCAGGAAGCAGTCAGGCAGGTGAATCAAGCTGTGTCAAACCAGGATGAGGCTGCTCTTTTGGCAGCACTCAGGCTTGAAGCTCTGTCCATGCTCGGTGTCCAGGAGTCAAATAGTCACTGGTACCTGGAACATTTTGCCACCTACTGCCAACACAAATCCAAGGTATGCTGGACCTGAACGCTTTCCCAAACTCAGAGCGTTATGCTCCAGAGAAACTCAGGATTTCTTTTGGAGATGTTTCATAAATATGCAGTTGTTGATTGTATACAAAAGAAAAGCCTGTATTTGGAAAGTAGAATGAAAGAAGTTATTCATTCTTGAGGGATAGTAAACGATTAGAAAGCCACAGATCATATGCATACATTTCTGGTTTTACAAAAAAACAAAAACACTTTTTCTGGGAAAGAATAAGCCGTATTGTCTCTTAGCAACTTTCTTTAAAAAAGCTTAGCTTAGCCATGATCATACAGCAGTTTATTTACTGAACATATTTTCAGTAAATAAACACCCATGAAGGACTGTAGCTGGAGTTTCTGTGTGGATTTCACCAAACAGACATTAAAGAGCCCATATTCTGCCCTTTTTGGGGTTCGTATATTTAATCTATGTATCTACTTTTGTACGTTCACAATAGCTAAAGTCCAAAAAAAGTGTGTGTTTTCATGTACTGCTCCTCCTTGCTCCCTCTACGCTCTGAGTCTGTCAGCTACGCTCTGCTGAGCCCACACTGTTAGACCCCACGTGGGCCAAGTCTGCTCTGATTGGTCTGCCGATCCGCTCTGGCGTTATTGGTCAGTTGCTCAGCACGTGTCTCAGAAATTTCAACATGAGCTGCAGGGCTTGCCACAACGAGCCAATGGACTTAGATCAGTGATATCACACTGACAATGACGTCGCACTGACAAATTTGTATCAAGGGGGGGCTAGAACCGAGCGTTACATGCGGCTAATGCTACAGCTAACAGGAGGAGGTAGGAGAAGCCGTGTTTACGCAGACTTTTAATTTTTGCACATAGATGTGCTTAAATATGCACAGGACACTTGGAAAACACACTGAAGAGCATATAAAACCAGAAAAAGCATAATATGGGACCTTTAAGAGACAGGGTGCTGTAATGAATAAAAGCCTTGTTCCTGGATTAAGACATGCTGAATCACCCCTGGATCAGGTCTTATCTCAGGGCTATACTCTGATGTTTGTGCTGCAGGATGGAGGGAGGGCAGTGATGGTGGACAAAGAGGAGATTCAGAGAGTGGTCAGCTCTTGTAATGACTTTGCTGAGGCAGAGAAACGAAGTAAGCAGCTTCTGTTACTAAAGATGTTTATTAACTGTGATTCATTCCTGGTTAGTTTAAGGTCCCATTTGTTCTTGTAGCATGCTTCTCAAAGCAAATGTACAATCTAAGTAATATTACCTACACAATACAGTTCATGAAACTTGTTTTTAAATGCAGGGTTTTCAAAAACACTTCTGCATTTATTAGCAGGACGTGACTCTCTGTGATCATTGTTTTGTCCAGAACTTGATGCAGTTGCAGCGATCAATACAGCCATTCGTCTTGGGAATGCCGTGGAGACGGTGGAGGAGCTGACGAACCCTGAGGCACAACTACCAATTGTCTACCAGACTGCTGCCAACCTCTATCAGGCTGAACTCTTCAGTTTGCAGCTCCAAGGGGGGCGGGTGAGATATCATCTTTAAGATTGTGGCATGTAGATCCACACATACTGGAGATATACTTACTTTTTAACCTTACTTTCCCACACACAACTGGCGACTTCATGAACGTAACTATTCACATACTCGGCTATACACTATGGGTGGTGATGGAGGATACCTCTAAAGGGCTCAGGCTGTATTCAGCTACCACAAACATGGGGACACTCAATGAGATTACTATCCTGTTGAATCTGAGATCTTGGCCGGAAAAGTGAGAGTGACATGTAAGGTCGAGAGAACATGCACTGCCCTACTCCATTTCCCCAACATTTTCCGTGTCGACTATTGAATTGAAGCTTATCTGTCCAAGCTATTTTGTCAGGCACTTTTGTTGTTGTGCAGTAACAAACACACATACCGTTCATGTGCGTACTGCATCTTTCATTTTCACTGGGCAGACAGCATGCGCAGATATCATGGACATCTTTACTAGACAAAACCTGTGATTAAATGGCACTCCCATGTTTTTATTTTATCAGTCCGGCTTGAGCCATGAGGAGCTGAGTGTAGCCGTGGAGATGCTGTCAGCGGTAGCAGTGCTGAATGAGGTGCTGGACACCAAAGACCCTCAGGCTGTGATTGAACAACTGACAGACTCTCCTCTGGGCTTCACCAACATGGACCAAGACAACCTCAACAGGTGAGACAGCCGCAGGATGGATAGCTGTGGCACAAAGAAGAACTAGCAGTGCATAGATTAAAGGATCGATATGTACGATATCTACTGAATTCAATCATAAAATGACCTCACTATGTCATCAGACATTTAGGCAACATGCTAAGTTGAAGTGCTGGCTTCTCTGACAACAATGTAGCAGCCAGTATGTCCACCTTCTAGGTTTTGGCCCAGAATGGTCTGTTTTTGTTTTGACCTGAGAAGTAGGCAGTTTTAGGGTACACCGCAATTTTGGAAGCCCCTCGGTTTGCAAGGCAGACCAACAGGTGTTGCAGCGATGGAAGCAGGCAGACGAATGCGTTCATATATAACAGATCTACTCAGACTAAAAAGCTGCACGACCAGAAACGTAGAAGAAAGGTTTCAAGACCGACAAAGGGCTGGTTAAATACTAAAGCTTCAGTGTCTGCAACACGGCAAAGTGCACAACACACTCCTCTAGGGAGGAGGGTGTAAAGGGGGAGTCAGCTTGGTGTCAGAGTAATATTTACAGTAGCTCGTTTAAATGGGAAAGAAACTCTGGGAAGGCAGTTTCAATCTTTTTGTTCGGCAAACAGATGTGTTGTTAAATCTTTTTAACTCGATGGACTCGACTCTCTCAAGTGGACTTAATAGTCCTGCTGTCATTTCTGTAATAGCTGACCTTTCCTCTTTACTCTTTTTTTCTACAACCACTGACTCCTTGCAAAAATAATGGTATAGGAGAGCAAGAATTCATTTTAAATGCAACATTTTAGGTGATTGGATGAATCTGTAAGTTGCTTGTCACTTCACTGCGGGTCTCTGATACTTTGCAAACACTAAGTAGTCTGACATTGTAATGGTGTCTTGCATACCATGACACGTTGCAGCAGTTCATCAGTGGCTTTCTCCCTCAGGTATGCTGACACTCTTATCAAAGAGCGAGAGGAGGCTCTTGCCAATGGCCAAGAGTTTCTCACGTGGAATGATGTTCAAAAATGCATCGACACAGTCAATGTGCAGGTCCACGAGGAGCATGAACGTAAGAAACACTCAGACACAGAAAGGATTTGATTCACTGTGATTCAAAGAAGACTCTTAATGAATAAAAACAATGTATGGTCCTTGTCTTCTACTTGCAGGCATTATAGCTATAGCAGAGATCAATGAGGCGCTGAGCTCAGGTGATCATCAGCAGACTCTTGCAGCGTTGCTCCTCCCTACAGCCAAGTTAACTGGGGTGAACCCAGCCACAGCCAAACACTACCATGATGTCCTTCAATATACCAAGCAACTCCTCTGCCAGGTAATGACTGTAACAACATTTTATTTACAATTTATACAATATGACATACTGAAGGTGTAAATCTTAATAGCTAAATAAAACATAATTATAAACACATGTTGGAGCTTGTCCAACAGTGGATGGATTCAGAAATCAGGGGAGAGAGAGGGGAATTCAGGAAAGGAGCCACAGGTTGGACTCAAACCCGCCTGGAGGACCACAGCCACCGTACATGGGGCACGCACACTAACCACTAGGCTACCGGCGCCCAATTTGACTAATTTTTTGTTCAACTAAAATACCAATAGAAAACGTATGTGCAAATGGTTTTATTTCATTCGTTCTGACTTGTTACAGACAAAAAGAAAAGTTGTTTCAAAGCCAATCTGACATCTGCTTCGGTTGATAGTCTGGTTTAAGTTTCATGGTCTACATTTTCTGATCCTGATATTGCTAAACATTCAAGATCACCTTTTAAAGTCACAGTGTCCAGCTCGTACTCTGATTTCTCTCTTTGTTGGCTTGAGCTTCCCTGCTGGTTTCGAACAATTGTTGTGCATGGATGCTTTTTCTGTGCATACACAACTTGTCTCACATCCTAGCGGCTGGTCTCTGAAGTGCTCCGTGGACTGATATGAATTTTAGATCTGAGGCTGCCGTCTTAGAAATGAGCACACACAGGAAAGGGTCCAGACAACTGTGAAAGCAGCAGAGACACACTGCGACTCTGTAGTATCCGTACAGTCTGTCATCTCCATTTAGAGACAGGCGGATGTAGTGGGCGATATGCAGGAGGCCACTTGGCAAGAAACACACCACAAAGATGATGAAAACCAGAGTGCTGACCCTGATGAATGGTTTCCAGTTACAACAGGATTGCCCAAGGTGGTATACCACTGATACATGGGCAAAGATACAAATCAGGAAAGGTACAATGAATCCAGTAAATATCAGAATCAGCCTGTATGGCACCAGCAGGGAGTGAGATTTTTCTTCTAGGGGAAGTACATCATGGCAGGTGGTGACCCCCAGCTGGGCAACATGGTAGCTCTGCCTGACCAGGAGTTCAGGCACGATAGCTGCCACAAACAGGAACCATATAACTAAGCACGTCCAAACTGCCAGAGTGGTTTTAGCCAGTCTTCTGTACAGAAACGGTCTGACCACAGCCAGGTAGCGCCTGAGACTGATGCATGCTATAGTTTGAGCTGAACAGTAAACATTGCTGTAAAATAATCCGGTAATAAGCCGGCAGTTGACTTCTCCAAATATCCAGTTATTCCCGTTGAAGTGATAGTGAACCCGCAGTGCCAGGGAGAGCAGGAGCAGCAGGTCGGAAAGGGCAAGGTTCAGATAGAGCACTTCGGTGGAAAAGGACTTTGATCTGAGTCTGAGGAGGGCAAGAATGTAAGCGTTTGAGGGGATACCCACCAGCATGGCCAGGATGTAAGATAAAGGTATGACCCAGGTGCTGAGGACCCCTTGGGTAAAAGCTGCCACCGGGTCCTCCGGGTTCACATCCAGCCCAGGGTCTGTGCTGGGAAAGAGCAGCCGGTTTGTGTGGTTATGTTCGTATGTCTTCCCCTTAAAGGTTTTTGGTAGAAAATCAGATGAATTATTGGTTTTGGTTCCTATAAAGAGGCAGAAGAACAATGTTTATAACTTCAAAGCAACTTAGGTTTGTGGTAAAAGTAAATTTTAAACTGCATCAGAGCATGAAACAAAACATCTAGCCACATTGATGTTTGGTTCTTTTTTTATTGCCCAGTATTGACGACTTTCTTTGTTGTTAGTTTTGTTAAACTTTATTTGTTCATTCAGGTTTCTTTAACCTTTTTTCTGTTCTGAAACCTTTTTTTGGGGAAATTGTGAGTACAGAATGGCTTCGAATGAATGCATTTATCCTTTAGCAGTTATCTCTTTGAGTATTTGAATGTACTCACCATTAGTCTGGAAGGCCTGAACTGCCATCAGGCAAAGGAGTAGTCCTGGCACAAGTTTGACCATATCCCTCTACTTTTATATCCCAGGTTGTGTAAAGCTCTTTTGTCTTCACCTCTCTCTGTGTTGATTCCGCTCACCAAATGAAGTAGTTCTCCATCGGTGAAATTTGCTGTTTTGCATCTTTGCAGAGCGACAGTGTAGAACTGATAGCGATGTGAACTTGAGCTCAGCTTCCCGCTTCTGTTAGTGGGGCGCTTGTGTTTCTGCTTGGAAAACAGTGAGCACATTTCCTGTCCAGGCTTGAAAGCTAAATTCCCTTCTGCCCGCGTCAGTAACAGCCCACTGACTCAGTAGGGAGGGATCAGCTTATAAATGTAACAGCTGCAAATCATTTACAAATGACATTCTGCCATATCACAATGTTTTTATTGTGATTATGATTTTAATGGGGATTCTATATTTGTATGTATTTAAGGTAGGGGGGACTGTTGGTTATTCAGTACTTACTATTGGAATTAATGTTTGGGGATATTGTAAGCGTCTTCATGTGCATACTACTCCTTTAAAATGATTACACTACAGCAATTAAACCTTGAGACTGTACAGTGGTATGGGGACTTTCCAGATGGTTTGATTCATCCAATGCAAAAAAAAAAGCTTTCTCTATATCCCGTTTTGCCTTTTTGTTACTCGGTTTAAAAAGATTTAAAACCACTAAGATGATGTCACAAACACAGAATGCTCATTATAAACTTACAACTGTGGATTTTGTAAACGTATTCCTTTACAACTGTAAGAAAAGCTAACTAGCCACACTCTCACTACATGATGGGTTCACTGGGAAGTGATCGGCCTGATGCAGGTGTAAACAAAGAGGCTGCTTTTAGTCCAGTCAGTGTGTTTTAATGGCGGCTTCCTTCCTGTTGGCACTGTGGTCAGGGATACACCCGGGTCCCCAAAGGAGTTCTCTAAAATTAGCCTGAGAACAAAATCAAGAATGAATAAACAGTCTTTGTGGTTGTTGTGAAGTTGTGTAGTCACAGTTTGTTTTTTTAAGTACAAAGGGGTCAATATGTTTATTGTTACCTATTCACAACAGTTTCTCTGGCATTTCGCTTTTCCATAGAGCTTACATCCGGACACAGGGGAAATGGCACAGTCTAGTATTTGGTGTTGCTTTAATTGCATCAGCTTGTGTTGTGTTGGTTTCTATAAAGTGGTCCTGCTGAAGAGCAAAATCCTCCATATTCACAAAATCTCCACAATCCTAACTTGATGAATAACAAACCATAACTCCATGAATTTCTTACTATTGACTTAAATATTTTGACTTAAATTATTCTAAAAGATGAGTTATTTAATACCAAGTTAGAATTGTGAATAATGCATTATGTGTCTCTTCATGCTGGATAACCGACATGACCTTGTGTTTTTTAAATCTGATTGTAGACCTCTGGAGATGAGTCTGCAGTTCTGTGGCTGGACCAAATCCAAGAGGCCATTCACACAGCCAATCAGGATGAAGAGGAGACTCTCACATGTATGTAGCTAAAGTTTAAATCACCTCTACCGGAACAAAAGCTAAACCGGGTCCTGTTAGTTCTCCTTATTTGGATGGGAACGAGTTGGAACTAGGTTCAAGCTTGTCAACGTACTGGAGTAGTGGTAAAGCAACCTTAATTGCAAAGTTGTTAGAGTGTAAACACTAAATTGAAATTTTAAGGGTAACATGACCAAAAAACAAAAACAGTGCCTTCATTTGAACTCCTGTTTTCATGTGATGGATTAATCAGTGTTGTGATTATTAGAGTTTCTTTTCTACATTACATGATTGATACTCATTCCTCTCTGATTTTCACTGCCATCTTAAAGTTCAGCGTGTGTTTCATATTTAAAGGTTTCCACATTAATACACAATGTTTCATGTATGATACTGTTAGACGGAAAGCTCTTAACATGGGGAGGAAATCTATTAAAGGTGTTGTTCTCGCTTTGTAAAGACAACATGCTCTTAAGTGATATAACATTCATCTCTGTATCTTTAATGACTGATTTAGTAGATACTGTCAATTAGGGCCCACTTTTTCTATCTTTTGGACTTTGGCAGTGGCTGGAGCAGTGGCTGATATAAACAGGACAGTGGCAGAGGGGGGCCTCTCAGAATACACTGCAGGCTTTGCAAGTTCCTGGTGCAGGACTGAGAGCGGTGCTCCCTGAATGTGCCGACACATACCAGGCTGAACTAAAACAGAGACAAACAAGTAGCACCACTGAAGGTAACTTACACTTAACTCTTATGTTAAGAAACTGAAACCTCCACAGAAGCAGCTGCTTTTTAAATGTTGTATTCAATTTGATATTCACTAAAATATGATTTTCTGCTTTCATCCAGGCAGCACTGAAAGTGTGTGGGTAAAACATAGCATCAAGGACAGATATAATTACTACTATAACCTGGAGACTGGAGAGGGCACCTGGGAGGAGCCAGAAGGATTTGAACACAATGTTGGTCATCTCAGTAAGGAGGAAATCCAGGTATCCCCTCCTGCACTGAATAGTTTGACTATTCCATTGTGTAATGTTGTTTTGATATATTTTTCATAGAAGGATGGACAGTGGATTCAGTGATCATCAAATTCAAAATCCCACTATGTGTTTAATCAGAAAAGTTTCCCTGTGTACAAGCTTTTTTTTTTTTTTTTTTAAATCTGACTTTCTCAACATCTCTTTCCCTTTAGAGCGTTGTCAGCTGTGTGACTGCAGAGTATAACAGGGAACAGTTATGGCTGGCCAATGAATCCTTTGTGACCCAACTGCAGGCCAGGATCAGAGGTTATCTGGTCAGGAGAAAGCATCGCCAGAGGATGGAGTATCTGCACCAACAAGAGCCACACGTCGTCAAATTGCAGGTCAGATATTTTTCAATGTCGAACTTTTATCAGAGAAATAATGAGAACTACAACGACCCTTGAGTCACCTTTGTGGCTTTGCAGTTAGCTAAATGTATACTGGCCGTTTTTTTGTTATGTTTCGATCATTATTGAATGACATTTAAAAAAAAAAAAAAAAGTGATTTCTATATTGTAGGAAAAAATAAAATAATTCAGTGGTTTTCATAAAAAAATGATGATTTCTTTTTATTTTTTTGCAGGCGTGCTGGAAAGGTCACAAACAGAGGAAAATGTACAAAGACAGGATGAATTTGCTTCATGACAACGTTACTTCGATTGTTAAGGTATTCATTCTGTTGCTTTTTTTTTTTTTTAAACAAAAAGAAGAAAAGTGATTAAACCCTAAACCCTTAAAGTGAAATCTGTATACATATGAATAGCTTCTTTTAAGTAAGCAACAGCTCAACCTTGAACCACATATGAAAATAAACTTCAGATCTTGGATTTGTTAAGACTTTATTCATTTGCATGTACCTGACATTACAAACCGAGTTCCCATATTGTTTGTCTGCTTTAGATCCAGTCTGTGGTCAAAATGTGGAAAGCCAAACGTGAATACAATCAGAGGTTACAGTTCTTCAAAGATCATGTGAGTAACTTGTTAGTCTACATCACTGAGAAGTGGCATTCATGTATTTGTTGTTTGTTCCATGTTGTGTGAGACTCACTAAGATCTGTGTTTAGGAAAAGGACATAGTAAAAATCCAGGCTTTTCTTAAGGCCAACAAAGCCAGGGATGACTACAGAACACTGAGTAAGTCAAAAATGTGTTTTACAATCCTGCATTTATCTGATTAATTAAACACTGAGTTCTCGATTTCAGACCAGTAAGGCTCTTTGTTTTTACAGTCCTAGTACAACATTGGTTAAATAATTGCTTCTAGGTTTTTTAGACTACACTGTTTCTAAAAGAAGTGTCAAGTGTTCAATTTTCTCTTTTTTTTTAATTTTCCACTGATTAAATATGTGAATCTTCCTCAGTCATTAGTTGCCATTTCTTGTACTTATGTCAAATGATTTGGAGACATGTTTGCTGTTATGAAGGTGTTAGCTCTGAATATTAGGGGTCGATAAAACACCAGTACTTTGTGTGTTTCTAACTGTAGCTGGGGCCAACGATCCTCCTCTGTCAGTGGTGCGCAAGTTTGTCCACTTGTTGGAGCAGAGTCCCCTGGACCTTCAGGAGGAACAGGAAGTGACACGGCTCAGGGAAGAAGTGGTCACCAATATTCGCTCCAATCAGCAGATGGAGAAAGACTTGAACCTGATGGACATTAAGATCGGACTGCTGGTGAAGAACAGGATCACTCTGCAGGTTTGCATCACCTTGTTTTAATGCCACCAAGGAAAGAAAAGCATCATGGGTGGTGTCGTGATGGTTGACATTAATCATAGCTGGTAATGGCTCAGGGTTTGCATAAAGCTTCTAAACAACTGTGATTACATCTGCGACAATATGTTTTCCGGTCCAGTTTGGCTGTGTTAATCATAAAGTGTTTGTTTGTTTGAAAAGGATGTCGTGTCTCATAATAAAAAAATGAAGACCAAGAAAAATAAAGCGAGTAAAGAAGACTTGGCTGCAGGAGAAAGAGTGGGTATAAAGGGCCTAAATAAAGGAAAAAGAAAGAAACTGGAGGCCTACCAACACCTCTTTTACCTGCTGCAGGTGATACAAAAACTCTTCTCAAGATTAAACTGAAACTGAAATATATTTAACTCAACTTAACCCCTGCTTCTCTCTCCCCCGCTAAGACCAACCCAGCCTATCTGGCTAAGCTGATCTTCCAGATGCCCCAAAACAGGTCCACTAAGTTTATGGACACTGTGATCTTCACCTTGTACAACTACGCCTCTAACCAGAGAGAGGAATACCTGCTGCTCAAACTCTTCAAGACAGCTCTGGAGGAGGAAATCAGGTGAGACCTGTAGACTTATTTTCGCTATTCTCTTATTGATCAGGATGATGATAATGTATTCTGATTAGGTCAGAACCTTAAAATATGAAATTAGCAAAAAAACACGTTTGTCTAATCCTGTTTGGATTCAAGAACGGTTCCAATATATCTCCTGTCACAGCTCCAAGGTGGACCAGATCCAGGACATAGTGACAGGGAACCCAACAGTCATCAAGATGGTGGTGAGCTTCAACAGAGGTGCACGAGGCCACAACACTCTCAGGCAGCTGCTGGCTTCAGTGGTCAAAGACATCATTGAGAACAAGAGTCTTGGCATCAACACTAACCCAGTGGACGTGTACAAAGCCTGGGTGAACCAGCTGGAGACGGCTACTGGAGAGGCCAGGTAGGAAAAAAGTGCTGTGGTCGACTAAGATGCGGATGGGGTTGTTGTTCTGTAGTTATGGTTTACTATTTATGGTTGTTTTTAGAGGGTCTGTGGGAAGTTTTGTAGGTTTTATTATTTTATCTTTGTAACATTACCTTAGAACTACTACTGAGCTTTTATAAACCAGTAATAGAAACAAAGTCCTTTCAGAGTTTTCCTTCCCTGTTTTCTTGTAATCTAAAAATGATGAACTACACACATCAATGTTGCCCTCTCTTATTCCTCCTTCCCCTTTAGTAAGCTGCCTTATGAAGTGACCCCTGAGCAGGCCATGTCACATGAGGAAGTACGCAGCAGGCTGGAGGCATCCAGTCTGTCGCTGCAGGCAGCTACAGATAAGGTCTTGAACTCCATTGTGTCCTCGCTCGATAATATCCCGTAAGTTTCTGGACCTGTTGAGTGTCACTGTCTGCTTATTCTTTGCGCTCTGTGACAGTCTGCTTTTCAATCAGCTTGATTCTGTTGTGTCTTTAATGTTGTTTTCTGCTTATCAAAACTGGATAACTTGGGAATAATAGATAATGATGGAGCAGCATTACATCTTAAAGTTGACATTATTGCCTGTTCCCCATTCAAACAGATTTCACAATCTTTATTTTTCTAAAGCTACTGTTGAGTATCTCTTGCCAATTTTTAACAATGATATAACATGATGACAGCACTAGACTGATTATGATCATATGCTTTGACGTGTCATTAGTCACTCACTCTGGTTGTTAAGGTTTCAGATGCATGCAGGTGCACGGTCATTACTGGACATCATGCTTTGAAACAGTCATCTGGTTATGCTCAAACAAAAACAACACCGCAAAAACAGAAATGTGTGTTGAGCACTTTAGCCACACAAAAACAACACCTGTTCACTGTAAAGACATGGACACTCAATGATTTGCTTACTTCTTGTACTTAATATTTATATGCTGCCTAAAAATACTTTGAAACAACATTTAAAAAACAGCTTGGAACTATGTTTACAAGCCACCAGATGGTGCTCATGTTTCATTTTGTTGTTTTCTCCGTCCTGAGCTTGCCATTTCATTTGTCACACATAGTGTAAAGGCATGTTGTTTGCTTTTTGTTTTGCATGTAGTTACGGCATGAGATACATAGCAAAGGTTCTGAAGAACACGCTCCATGAAAAGTTTCCTGATGCCTCAGAGGATGAGCTGATGAAGGTAGATGGGTATATATGTTTATGCATAATGCAGTCCCTTAATAATAATGAAGAATATACAGACCCGTCTTCATACTTCACTGGATTTAGTTTTACAGATGGTTTATAATCTTGCTCTCTCTTTTTCTCATAACAGATAGTAGGAAACCTGCTCTACTACCGCTACATGAACCCAGCCATTGTGGCTCCTGACGGCTTCGACATTATCGACATGTCAGCTGGAGGGCAGCTTCACTCAGACCAGCGCCGTAACCTCGGATCTGTGGCAAAGATGCTGCAGCATGCTGCCGCTAATAAGCTGTTTGAGGGCGAGAATGCACATATGACACCGTTGAACAACTATATTTCTCAGACGTATGAGAAGTTCAAGTAAGGAAGGAAAAAACCAAATATTGACAAACAAAAAATGCTCTGTAGCTGATACAAATGATCATGAGAACTTGTGTGTGAACATGTTTTAGTCTCAGGTCAGTCTTAATGGTAAAAGTATTATACAAGTGTTTCATAGCGTCATGATAAAACAGTAGGCTTAAGTTCATGTTCAAAACACAACAGTGAAAAACGCATGACGTAAGTAGTTCTTGTGTTTGGCTGTTAAAAAAGTAAACGCTGTTGCAACACACATTTCACTCGAAGGTCAGGAACAGGGGAAGCTGACATGGTGGAATCGGAGGTGATGGAGGCAAAGAATCAAGTTTTTAGGTGCTGTTTCAGCTGTTATTAGACATGCCCCTACAAACTGAAGTCCAGAAGCACCATTGAATACTAACCAATCATGAGGGCTAGTTACAGTGTGTCCAGGAGTCAGTCCCAATTTGTCCAAGTGTGTGATTACATTTCTTGAAACTGCTCTGTCTGAGGCACATACCTTGATTGAAAAAGGCACAACAATATTAGAGACAATTCAGCATTTTAGCTGTTTGTGATTTCCCTTATTCCAACCATTATCTCAGACAGCAGTAGGTCTAAAAGACCACCAACCACTTACCTCTGATTTTTGTCCTTTTTCTAGGGTATTTTTCCAGGCAGCATGTGATGTCCCTGAACCTGAGGAGAAGTTTAATATCGACGAATACTCAGACATGGTGACTCTAAGCAAGCCTATCATCTACATCTCAATAGAGGAGATCATCAATACACACTCGGTAAGAAACACGACTTATACCTTCTCCAGATTAAAACTTAGCTGTGGAAGTGTAAGGATGATCATCATCATTATCAAACATTGAGTCTTCACTCTGTCCGTCAGTTTTGTCTTAACAGTTACTTTGTTTCACTAATTTCAAAGTAGGCCACTCTGTTTTTCTCTACAACTGTTTTTAATGTGTATTTAAAAAAAAATAGTTTTCATGTCTATTATTGTTCTTTATATTATCATACCACTTCATTTGAAGCAGGGTCAAGTTGAGGACATCAATGGGTTAAACTCAAGTGTTTAGTTTTTTATAAAGCCTTACAATATTTCACAAATTTCCCTCAGAGGGCTTTACAATATTAGCGATATGTGACATCGTCTGTCATCACACCGTCCGTTTGGAGGAAAACTCCCCCCCCCACGAAACACGTCAAACTCGAAAACTGGAATAAACTCAGGAAGCGTCAGTGGAGGGGTTCCTCTCCCAGAGCAGAAAGATGTACAAAAAGCCACCGGTGCCCTTAAGTCATCAGAGTTACTCTGCACTTATTCGTGCATAGATTTCAAAGACGTGAACCTTCGTTATAGCACATGTTCCCTCAGCCTTCATTTTGCACACTTACATGATTTTGTCATTTCATGTCTATTAGCTTGATATGATGAGAAAACACCAGCATGGTTCATTTCGGGGTCAAGAATAAACGTTATATTTCTTGATTGTATTATCTGCAGTGCCATAACATTAGCATCTGTGTTCCTTACATGTCTTCTGTTGTTTCTCTAGTTAAGAATCATGAACTTGCTTGTCTATGTATTTTCTCATCGTCTAGTTTCACAGTAAATATTTCAGCTTTTTTCATTCTAATAGTTACATCTGTGTTTGTTTAGCTGCTTTTGGAACATCTAGAGGCCATCTCTCCCGACCACAATGACTTACTACATGAGCTGCTGCAGGACCTGGGAGACGTCCCTGATGTAGAGGCATTGCTCGGTATCGTCAAATAAACTTATGTCAACATCAGTCACGAGTTAATCACATCTGGTCTTATAGTGTGTTGTTTATCCTTTTACAAGCTGTGCTTTTATATTTCAGGTGAGGGAGCAGCAGACCCGAATGAACAAAACAGAGAGAGTGCTCTGAGTCAGCTGGCCAAGACGGAGATCTCCCTCACCCTCACCAGCAAGTTTGAGCTGCTGGAAGGAGACGACAAAGACTTGAAGACTCTAATGACAAAGTGAGTTTAGTGTTGGAGGATGTGGACAAAGATAGTTTAACACATTAACTGAACTGCATGTTGATGTTTCTAATCAACTGAATTCTTACAATATGACAAAATACTTTTCAACACTTACTACGTACTTTATTTAATCTTTGCCATGAAAACCTTCTGATGTACTCTACTTCAACCTCTGATGACACTGTGTGTGTTTCCTTGTGGCTATCACTCAGTAATGTGTCTTTGTTGCCTTTCCTGCTCTTCTATCGTTTCCTGTCCTAAGGGGAAGAGGTTGTTGTTCAGGGCTATCTTGCCGAAAACACGCATCCGTCTGGACAATAGTTTCTCTTTCAGGAGACTAGTGGGGATTTTGTCCTTATTTTTTGGCATTCCAATATGCATGTATGTTCATTATTGACCATGCCCAGCATTTGGTGGCATACTGAATTAATTCCTACATCAAAATCAATCTGATATTTTGCTCATGGTGTAACTTTCTTTTAACTAAATGTCATTACAAAATATTCAATAGCTTGATTAGAAACTGGAGAAACAAACAATGTTCCTTGTGAAGTTGAAGCAGTTCTATAGATGAGAGTGAGATCATTAGGCTTTGGTGTTTGATTCTTCCCTTATTGTTTTTAAATCTGGGTAACTGTGCAGTGACAGAGTGGTAACAGACAAGTTATATGTCTGGAATATGATGAGTTTTTATCAACACTTTGTCCTAAATCCAATCAAGGAGACTAAGAGCGAGTTTTTCCTCCATATAACAACAGCTCCTTTTTCTGTTTGTTAAAGTGACATTACATCTGACACAAAATAAAAAAGCGAGGTCTGTCTCTCAAAGATGATCTTCGTCACTGTGTTTGTTCTCAGGACAAAAAAGCTCATTGTGGATGTGGTTCGAATCCAGTCTGGAGAGACCTTACCTGATATTCTTGACACCCCAAGTACTGACCCACAGGTAATAAAATCTGCTATCTTCTTTTCTCTCACCTTGGTCTACAAAAGCCCTTCTTATTTGTCAATCATTTTGAACACCGTCTTGATCGTTTCACTTCAGAGTTCTGTGAGTTTTTTTTCAGCTCTTTATAACTCTGCCCCTAAAGGAGTCCGAACATATGAAAATCGTAGAGCGCCGGGCAGTCCAGGATGCTCAAACACCGGAGGGTCTAAAGAGCAGCCCAGCAGTGCTGGAGGACAGCCAGCTGCCTCTGGAGCAGAAGAAGAGGAAGATCCAAAGGAACCTCCGTAACCTGGAGCAGGGCGGCCTTGTCACTGCAAGTAACAAATACCAGGACCTCATCAATGACATATCAAAGGTACAGTACATAAGAAGCTCTGCGATGCAACCTAATATGTGTTGTTAGACTTGTTCAGTCTGTGAATTTATGAAGTCAACCTTTAACTCACAGGACATTCGCTACCAAAGACGCTACAGGCAGAGAAGGAAGGCAGAGCTTGTGAAGCTGCAGCAGACGCTGACAGCCCTGAACTCCAAAACCGCCTTCTACCAGGTCCAGATGAACTATTATGACACCTACATTAAAACCTGCCTGGATAACCTCAACAGGAAGTGAGTTGTACTTAACCTTTTTAACCAACCATCAATGAAGAGTTTTTTTTGTTTAAAACATCCTCATCTCACTGTGTGATATCTTTTTGTTGTGTAGATGGTTTGGTTTTTGGTTCACGGTGATAAAAAAGCCTTTCTGTTTTTGTGTGTCCAGGAATTCCCGTAGATCTATAAAACTGGACGGCAAAGGGGGAAGTAAGAAGACAAAGCTGCAATCTCTGAAATACACAGCAGCGAGGCTGCATGAGAAGGGGGTCATCCTGGAGATAGAAGGACTTCAGACAAACCAGTGAGTTGAGCTGGTCACTGAATATCAGTGCAATTACACATTTATTTTATTATTTGCTTACATTTCATTGGTTTATTTTAGCTAGAATTATTAGTTTCCATTAGTTTATACATGTATATTTTCCATAAGGAGGAACAATATATTTTAAATGGAATGAGACTTGACTATCAGACAGCTTTGTGTGATATTGCCCTGTCAGTCATCTTGTGGAAAGAAAAATGTGATCATGGGTTATTGTTCAGTTAGGTGACGTTTGTCGTCATCCCCCTGCGTGAATTCCTTAAATCCATTATCATTTGCTTCCCTGTATTTCTGAATTAAAATGTTAAACTAAGCATTAAAACAATTTGAGTGTCTCTTGGAAATGCTGACATTTAGTTTCTGTATTCCTTCAACAATCAGAAAAAATACACTGAAACGATTGATTTGTAGCTTTCCATTTGCTGAATAGTCACTTTCTTCCCGTCATTATTTTCATGCTATTGTCTCTTTTCCTTTTCAGGTTCAAAAATATCATGTTTGACATTTCACCTGCTGAGGAAGTTGGGGATTTTGAAGTGAAAGCCAAGTTTATGGGAGTTGAGATGGAAAAGGTCCAGCTTCATTTCCAGGTAATCTTTTGCCATTTGTGTCAGGATTTTACCAAATCAAGCAGCTTTCTTGTCAACATTAAATATTGATGGCACACATAATTGAGTTTTCTGTTGCCCTCATCGGACTGTTAGCGGGAAATATAATAGAAACAAAGCATATATCTGCATGAAGACAGATTAGTAGTTATCAACAAAAGCCCTATTCAGAACGCTGTTCCAAGAAGCGATATTTACACCCCTATGACATTATGCCTTCAGTCTGAATGTCACAGAGGCTGTACCGTCTTCTGAGGCAGTAACAGAGGCAAGACGGCTCTTCAGGGGGGGGGATATAGAGCTCTCGCTGTGCCGTGCTACTGCAACGCCGAAACATAATGTGAACGCACAGACTGGGACAATAATAGTACACTGTCGCAAAATCAAGATGAATGTACAAAGACGTGATGATGGTTGAGCTTAGTTACGGCATTTTTGTGACAAAAGCAGTCTGAAAAAAAACTACAGTAGAATATATCCATTTATGCAAAGAGCATATAAGGTGTGATGTCACGTCAGAGTCACATTTTTTTTGTGATACTTTTACATAAGAACTAAATGATTAGCTCAATGCTAACACAGCTGTCTTTCTGCTGTTTGCAAAGCTTCAGAGTAAGTCTCTTATTTCTCTGAATAAAGGCGTTAACAAGCTTTTAAAATGTGTTTTCTCATTTACTGTTATTTCTAATCTGTACCCAGGACCTCCTACAGCTGCAGTACGAAGGCGTTGCTGTCATGAAGATGTTTGATAAAGCCAAAGTCAATGTCAATTTGCTCATCTTCCTCCTAAACAAGAAATTCTATGGGAAATGAGAGAGCAAAGCTGAAGAAGGGAGGAATCATCAGGAGAGGGGAGACAGACTGTGCCTTCTGACAGAACAAAGTTGCTAGACGGTACAGGACAGTGTCGTGTTTCTTCTGATTATAATTTGATGGATCACACCAAAATGCATTCTGTTATTGTCCAACGTAATGTGTCTGTTCTGTTTTTTTCGCCGTGGAGATTGTAAATGTTATGTATTTTACGAATTAAATCGTATTGTTTTCATGTTACTATGCAAAAGATACTTAGTTGTAAGTTTAAGCTACTTTAAAATTTTTGATGGAAATTTCAGAAGAAGCCGTACTGTCTTAGAGTTCAGACTACATACCCACTCACCTGCATGACCAGTGCCTTTTTATCCAGATGTTTAAAGAAATGTTTTAAATAATAAATCATAAAAAAAATAAAAGCTACAACCGATGTTTTTAATATGTACAATTAGTATGTAAGTGATTTTTAACATTTGAACAATGTTCATAATAAACTATGTCTAAAAGTAGAGTATGTATCTGTTCTACTGTTCTCTCAGTTGTAACATCTGCCAGTATTAAAGCTTTCACAGGGAATATATTTAGGTCTGAAGAAGGTCAGTCTTTTTTTTTTACTGTAACAGGGAGGAGTTAATGCACCAAATAGGAGGTGGAGTATCCACACTGGGATGTAATAATATGTTTGATACCAGCAGAAAAACACTTGAGTTACTCCTGTAGCAAACAGATCATTTGGGATCTGGACTAACAGCAAAGCCATGGTTCACCTGTCTGTTGGGTTGGTGGTCCTGTTGTCTCTCCACAGCTCAGCTCTAACTTCTCTAAATGGTAAGCCCCTGTAAAATAGCTGTAATAGTTCAATATAGATCATTGTGTTGTTTTATTATTAGAGTTTACTCTAATGGGTTTTACAAATGCATGATTGGATAACGGTTTTTGCATCTCCTGTTCTATTTACTAATTTAATTGAACCACACCATGGTCCAATGTATTCTGTATATATTAAGCTTTTACCATATATGGTGGTGTGGATTTGTTGACGCTGCATTCATCTCCCAACATGCTTACACAAATTTGTGACTGAAAATGCAATTTTGTTTTCTAGTAATGGGAATTGGAACATGATTTGTTTTGAGAACGATGGGCTTATAGTAACTGCTACAAAGTTCAGTGTTCATTTTATTCACTTGGGTTGGCAGTAGCTCAGTCTGTTGAGACTTAGGGTTTGGAGCCAGAGCGGTCACTGGTTCAAGTCCAAGTTCAGAAATGGTCCTGGTAGTTGGAGTGGCGCCAGTTCTTTTTTTGAGCACTGCCGAGGCGCCCTTGAGCAAAGCACCAAATCCCCAACTGCTTGGGTGCTCTTTCATATGCAGCATGTCTGAACAACAGAGTGTCATTGAATTCCTCCTCGAGGGATTAAGAAAGGATATCATCATCTTCTTGTACTCTACACTAGCGTGCTTTATATTTGTCCACTTTGATGTCTTACTTTTGTTAACGAATGACTGAAGTTAAAGATTTAAAAAAAAATAGCCTATAGGCTTTTTAATTGTAACATCAAAGTCAAATGTTACATTATTGATATCGCACAAGTAATAGTACAATCATTAAATAAAACTTTGTGATATGCCTTTTCATGTGAAAGCAACTTTGAAATACTTCATGCAACTTTAAAAATAAAAATTACTTCTAAGCAGGTAACAACAGCACATAGATGAAAGAAAAACAATCTTTACAATGCATCTCCACTTTTCCCTTTGCTACAGATGGAGGGAAAAAAACCTTCCAAATCTAATAAACCCATTTTGAATATCTTTGCTGCCAAGAACCGAAGTGTTCATATCGATGTTTAGTTCTTAGAAACATCTAGACCAGTTTTTAAGTTATGATTCAAGATAAGGTTGGCAAAGAAGAAAAAGTTTGAAAGCCTCTTCTGTATTCTGCTCTGTTTACCTTTATCTCTTCATAGGCTCAGGACTCATGCCACGGACTTTCGCTGGTCACTTTGTCATGTCCACTGATGATCCTGTTGACTACGTTGACCTGTCTGTGTCTGACAGTGAGGACGGAGATTCTGGCTCAGGGTTGGAGCAGGTACCAGTCAAAAAACACACACGCCAGGGTCCACACCCCCACCACCAGAAGAACTACCACGTCTCAAAGGAAGCTAAACACTTTCTGAAGGGTCACCTAGCGACAAAGTTTGTCCCCACTGTTTACACTCTCGTCTTCATCATCAGCGTGCCCCTCAACCTTGTTGCCATGGTGATGTTTCTGCGTCACATCCGTCCGAGAAAACCATCAGCAATCTACATGCTGAACCTGGCCTGTGCTGACCTGCTGTTCGGCCTTCTCCTTCCCTTCAAGATCGCCTACCATTACAACGGCAACAACTGGATCTATGGCTCCTTCATGTGCAGGGTCGTCACAGCAGCTTTCTACTGCAACATGTACTGCTCAGTCCTACTCATGACGTGTATCAGCGTGGACCGTTTCCTGGCAGTGGTTTACCCCATGAACTCCCTGACATGGCGCAGCCCTCAGACTGCCTCAGTTGTGTGTGCCGCCATGTGGCTCTTAGCCCTCGGAGGAGTTTCGCCGCTCCTCATCTCGGGCCAAACCATGTTTCTGTCAGACTTGGGCATCACCACCTGCCATGATGTGCAGGATGTGGAAATACTGCAATCTTACTATCTCTACTTCTTCCCCATCTACTCCTCCATCTTCTTCTTCGTCCCTCTTGTCTTCACGGTCGTCTGTTACGTACGTATCATTCAGGCTCTGCTCGCAGCCAACTTGGAGAACCGCTCCAAGAAGACTCGAGCCGTGGTGATGGCTGTGGTTGTGTTGATGGTGTTTGTGATCTGCTTCACCCCCACCAACATCATTCTCATGGTTCACTACGTCCAGTTGTCTCACAAGTCCAGTGATAGTTCCTATCAGGCATACCTGATCTCCATGTGCCTGGGCAGTCTAAGCTGCTGCCTGGATCCTGTCCTCTATTACTTCGGCTCATCTCAGTGCCAGAAGCAGGTGTTAGCGCTTCTCAGGTGTCGGAGACCAGCAGGAGCAAAGAGCAGCTCAGAGACACAGAGTATGAGAAGCAGCAGGCGGACAGAGAGCACCAGGTCATGTAAGATGGAGAGCCTTCAATCAGGCCTGGGGAGCCAGTACAGCAGACTGGTGGCATGAAGGGCCGATTTTGTGTGCGAGACTGAAAAGACCCACATGCTAGCCCAACTGTGTGGAACCACATATTCAAAATATATTTTAATCTCTTCTTAAGAAATGCTTTGGCTGGATCAGAAGTGCGTTGTGAATGTATTTGTTCTTAAATGATATTGTTGTTTGAAACTTGTTATTCTTTATTCTTGTTATTGTAAAAATTAAATATATTGAGTAGTGTGACAGTTTGTAATATGTTGAATTTATTTCAAACCAGCGTAGCGGAACTTTTCCCCCCCCCATTAATTTAAAGCTCCTGTGAAGAACTTTCAGGTTGTGCCATCTTTGGCGACCCCTGTGGACAAAGCGAGAAGTTGCATCTCTTTCCTTATCTTGTCCTGTACATGTGTGAGTAATGTTTTCTGTCCAAAAAAAAAAAAAAAACATATCTGCTTATTTAAAATGTTAACGTGAATCTCAAAATAAATCTTCAAAAAAATTAAAAACAGGCTGCTTTGGGCAGCATGCTTTTTATGGCCTACCCTGTGGCAGACTAACAGGCATATAAAATAACCACACAGTAAGGTTTAGTTTGATTCTGGAGGTCATTTAGATGCAGCATGAAGAATTTCAGTCTGTTCCATTATCAGCCAAAAACTCCTCACAGTAGCTTTAAGTTGCTATTAACTTTATTACAATAATCAAGTTTTAATCTTATAAACAGTACTTATGATAAAGACACGGCTTTGTTAAATGAAAAAATAACTACTATTATGTATCATTATTGCAGTAAGGGTTGAAAAGTAGATTCACGACTTTATAAATCAAAAAGGATGTTCATAAAAACCTAATGTTTAGATGAATTCATTAGAATTAATTCATTCCATAAAGAACAATTCTAAAACATCGTATACATATTTATTCTTCAGACAAATGTTGCTGTGTCTTCATCTGTTTTTAATGCTGGTCACTGTCTTTGTCATCAGGGCACAGCTCTGAAACAGAAAATGTAAACAAGAGCAAGAGAATAATAAGTAAAGTGAATGGCAAGTTTTTCCTCTGCATCACGGAAAATATTTTCTCCATATTGATCCCTCACAATGAACTGTATCAATCAATAACGTTATAAATGAAACAAGCATTAAGCCCAAGTCTATAATCATATGTAAAGGTTACTTTCTTTAAAACAATGTCTCCTCCTTGTGGCAGCTTGTATATCATAACATCCACTTAAATCCAGCTTTACATTTACAGCCTCACTCATGAGCTACTGACCTGTTTTACCATCAAAGCTGTGGAAGTTCTCTGGGAAATTCAGACAACCGACTTGTTTCTTGAAGATTTCAACATCTTTGGGATCTATTTTTCCTGTCCTAGCTGAAAGGGAAGTCAGACATTTTTAAAAACTCTTAATTAAAAAAAAAAAACGTGTTAAAAGCCTCGAGGACAGACAGAACTTACTGAACTGTAGGATGAATCTACCGGTGGCATCCCCGTTTCGAAAGGTATCAGTCCACAGCAGGCAGTCAGAGCAAGTCTGCAGAATATGTCCTTTATGGTCTGACAGATTCTCTTTGAATGTAGAAGGAGGGACTCTTTACTTCACAATTCTATTTACACAGAAATCTGATATCCTCTCTTCTTATTTATCCTGTTAATATCATTCCAGATATAAGCAGCTTGTCATGTTTCACTTACTTCTGAATGTGGTGGCGAGTCCTGAGACTGTTGCATTCACCTCCCCCATGATACATCGATCACTTAGAAACAAAAAAAAAAAGCCGTGACACAATTTTGTTTTCACAAGCTTAGCATTCAACATGCTGAAATGAAATAAACCACTACACTTACAAGCAGTGGTCTCCCCAACGTAATGTCATAACTTGACTTTGAGTCGTGGGTGACAACTCTATCCAGGAGCTTTTCAGAGACTCCAGTGCTTTGTGGTACTGCTTGGGGTCACCAGCTCCCATTACATACACCCATTTACCAAAAACCTTCATATAGAAAGTCAAAATGAATGTCACTGCATGAAGAAAAATATCTGAGTTTGCCTTTAATGATGTGCTCAATTAAGCGGCAGAAAAGGATCATAGGCAGAAACTTACCAGTTTGGGGTCCTCTGGCAAAACAGGCTTGATCAAATCCTTACAGTCGGGTGCAGCTGCAGCACTCAGGGAAGCGAGAGCCAACACAAAAACAACAACAGATATAGCCATGTTCAGACGGAGGACGAGACAGCAACACTGCTGAGGATGTTACCGAAGCTGCAACAGGAAACATCTATCGCCTTTTCATTTTCAAAGAGTTGTGCAAGCACTGATATTGGAGAAGGAGGGGGGTCCTGCATGCTCAGATGCACCAGTGAAGGTTTTCAATGGCCATGCAGAGCTTCTTTTGCTCCACAATGAAAGGACAGCACAACAGCCCTCTGTTGTCAGTACACCGCTGCCCCTGAATGAACTCAGGCAAGGTGCCACGGCTCGTCTGGGCCGTGAGACATTTACAAAGGAGCTCAAGAGGCTTTTATTCAGTAGAACTGAAGGTTGTATCCCATGGGCTCCCTGCTGGTAACAGTTTTAAAAGTCTGATGTCTTTTTTTCTTTCTCACAAACAGCGGTGTTACTTAGCAACAGAGTTTATTAGAGTTTATGGATACAGCGCTACAAATGAGAAGAGGTGTAATAGTTTTCGTAATCTTTATACACAGCGTTGCATCTTGTTATTCTAAAAAATGATGAAGACGTGGGAGCTTACAAGTTGCACACTTCTTCTGAATAAAGGTGGAAATAAATGAGTAGAAAACAGAGCACAGGGGGAATGAAGGCTGTTTATTTATCTCAGGCAGGCAGTTAAAAACAGACAACTATTTACAGATGCTGATTACACTGGATTTTTCAACCATTACATTACCAAAATATTCCAAGAAGTTCTTAAGTCTCACATGTCCTAAACTAACAACAAAAGTTCAAGCACTCATGCAGGCGGAATTACACAACAATAAGACTTCTGCTCATATCTAACCACATATCTAACATGACTTAAAAACCATCAGGATATGAACTCGTCATTGCTCCAACTTGCTGACGACAGATGGAAAGTTAATGCAGAACACAATGTTAAATCAATAATTCAGATCAAAACACTATTTAGAGCTGGTCTAGCTGAACGTGTTTGGCTTTTAATGCAGCTTTAGTTTTCAGGAGGCTGGACTTCAGCTTCAGTGGTCTCTTCATCATCAGCAGCAGCAGCTTTCCTGGCATCTGGACACAGATCTAAAATAAAAAGCAATAATCAAATTGTAAAGACAGCAGCACAAAATATGTACCAGGAAGAAACAGAGCCTAAAATGACAGCTGACCTGTGGTTCCAAAGAAGTACTCTGGGAGGAAGTTGAGACACTCTGCCTGCTTCTTAAAGGTGTCCAGCTCAGATTGCTCCAGATTGCCGGTCTTTGCTTCAAAAGTGGAGACAGAGTGAAACCAGGAATCAAAATATCTGTTTACTATCTTAAAAATCAGATTGAGCATGGAAACAACTTACTGAAAAGGAAAAGGTATCTTCCCTTTGACTTGCCGTCAGGGAGGAGGGTGGTGTCTTCAGAAAGGAGGCAGTCAGCGCAGGTCTCATAGTACTTCCCATCATGATATGAAGTGTGACCGTTGATAGCAACTTTAAGATGACATTCATGAAAAGTGTTTCGTTTGCAAACATATTTGTACAATAAAATGTTACATTATTTGGCTGCAAAAATCATTATTAACAAAAGAAATACTGTGAATATTCTGTGATACATACACGTGGTGTGACTCGTCATTCCAGAGACCGAGGCATTGGCTAGACCCTGAAGGCATTTGTCTCCCCTCATATGAAGAACAAAAAAAATGCAACAATCAATCTCCCACTGTGCACTTTTAACTGCATACTGACAGACAACGATCATTTATTTATGAGAGACAATAGAAAGTAACTATTTAGTCATGTGGCTGTGGGTGAAGTCCTTACAGGCGGTCGGCCCAGTAGATGGTGATGAGGCTGCTGTCTGATGAAGAGGACAGTTCCACCCATGATGAGTTTACTGCCACCAGGTCATGCTTCAAACCAGGCTCATCCCATGATGCCACATGGAGCACCCACTTTCCATAAATCTGACACAAACACAGAGGCCTTTAAAATTGTTCAAACAAATGTCAGATGGATAAATAAAAACGTGTAAACCAAATCCTGATAATACTAAAATTTGAATTATCTGCTGAGGAAGTTTGTGTTCAGTATGACTGAAAGCTCCAGAACAGCTCAAGGGAGGCTTTGTGGACTTTTTTTTTTTTCCTGTTTCAACATTGTGGTTAATTTTTTTTTTTTTACAAAGAGAATGAATTCATATTGATTTGGTTTGAATAGGCTATATAAGAAAATTAGAATCTAGGGCTCAGACTGTAGCTTAATCTAAAATATGCTTCAATGTTCATGGTAAAATAGATATGCTAGGGCTTAACTTAAATGAAATGATGAAGCAGGTTGACACACAGATAACATTGACTTCACAGATGCAACTGTTCCTTCAGATAATTTAGGGAGGATTGCTCCCCAAATTCTCCTGGCTGTTCACATACACACCTCACAGTGGGAGACTATCAGGAGAAACTCCGGATAAAGTCCGAGAGAAACATTGGGCTGCATTCACATAATACTCATACACTCCTCCTGAAAATATCACAAGTGTGAAAGCCCTATCATACTGCATTTATAATTAGGCCTAAACTGAGCCATATTTTGAATTATTAAAAATGAACACCAAACCAAATTCAGCTTTTCAACATGCAGCACACTTGAGATTGTCCTCACACCTACAACCAGCTGAGAACGAATGATGTCTGATACTCACAGGGCTGTGGTTGTCCAGTACCAGAGGCTTCACCAGCTCTTTACAGTCCAGGTGAGGCGCAGCAGCGCACAGGGAGGTGAGAGCCAGGAGAGCGACAACCAGCTGTGCAGCCATGACTCCAGAAAGCATGCAGTCACAGAGCAGCACTAGAGTCAGTATCCTGCCAGCTAGAAACCCCTCAGAGGAACCTTGGGGAGTGTTGTGTAAGAGGGGGCCGGGCCACAAACAAAAACACACGCACAGAAACACTATTCTTCTACTGGAGGGAACAGTTTTGCTTCGCTTTTCACATCCCCTCGCAAGTGATCCTGTCCTATTTATCTTGTTACATAAGAGCCATCTGGCAGAGGCTGAAAACAGGGCCCCTTTCATTATGGGAACAACCTCCTGCAAATACTCACATTCTCAAAAACATTGTCTCTGCTGTCTCCATCTTTGATTTTACAAAAGAATCGACTTTGAAACATTACAAATATTTCCATTATTTTTCAATAGTGCATACATTCAACACAATCATGAATACTGACTTTAACTGCAGTTTTCATTATTGTTTTCTTCTCTCTTTTGGGACTATGTATATAACATGCCTGTCCCCCTTTGTTATTTAGGTAAGGGAAACTTTTTTAAGGGATACAATCTTTTTAAGTACTGACAAAAAGGTATATTTGTTTCTAGCTGAAAATTGTGATTATATAAATTTGGCTAATTTGGAGAGTGTCACTGCACAGTTCCAGATGTTAATATGGTTCATTCAGCTCTTCTCCACATTTAAAAAAAAAAAGGTTACACACACAAAGGCCTGAAGAGGAGGACAGTCATAAATATGTGTTTAGGGTGCATGCAAAACATTTTATATCAATACTGAAAAGCAAATCACCAATTTTATTATTACGGCCCCATGTTTAGAAGGCTGGGTTTCAGTTTTGTAAAGCAAAGATTTTATGATACAGATGTCATAAATACATGTCTGCATTAAATAGATTAAGAAAGCGGAGGTGATAGATACCAAACATTTAACATCATACATTTTGTTTGTCTTTTTCTTCGTGAATTTCACTCTTAATTGATGTGACTGAAGATTGTTTGAGGCTGTGATATGAAGCACACAGCAACTGAATTTACAGAGAGAGAAAGAGAGAGAGAGAGACAGAGAGAGAGCGAGAGAGAGAGAGAGAGAGAGGGAGAGAGAGAGAGAGAGAGAGAGAGAGAGAGAGAGAGAGTGAGACTACCAGAACAAGTCCACTTGCCTTTGGTTCAAGCTCCTAATTCACCATTACCTGGATGACTGAGAACCTACACAGACATTTTGGGCTTATGTTTAAACCAGCACCCTTTACCACAACCTATATCAAGCTTTACTTCCAACCTTCACCCAGAAGAGAAAAATAATATTTTTAAAAATGACAAAATACGACTTGTATCTTTGCTCACCTTTATTCCCTCCTGTTTTCAGTTGTTGTAAAAGAAAAAAAACTGAGTGAGGGAATCAGATCGGTCCACACTTAGAAACAGTCCAGCAGAAAAGACTGCTGAGAGGCTACAGGGGACTTCACTGGGTGCTAAAGAGAGAGAGGGGCCTTACCTTTCAAAGAGATCTATCAGGTTATAGTAAGAGAAACCAGAGAGCCAACACTTTGAATAAGGGGAGAGAAGCTTTATGCTAGCATATTCAAAACCCATGAAATACTTCTCTGTGTATTTACAAAAACATAATACAAGAATAAAAAAGAGAAAAGGAACACATCACAAATGGAGTCCAGTATACTGCCACAAAACAGAAAACATGATCCAATTTACAAATGTGTCTTCTTGTACTCCCACTTATGGCTTTAATCTAACACAAAAATAAAAAATACTATACCTTGGGCTCATTTCTGACAGTGATTCGTCAGTCCATCCCTCCCTTTTGCAATAATTCTCTCAGAGTTTGTCTTTAAATAATATTATTATCAAATACACATACAAGACAGAGGAGCTACATTGTGAGCTGTACACTTTGCAGTAATAGAAGGGGGAGGAGAAGGTTCACAGGAGTATCGACCTTTTGTACATGATGGTAAGATATCTCGGGCAGTGAAAAAAGTTGAAAACACTGATTTGAAAACGAGCTCATTTGAGCTTTCTGTCATGGACTTTTCCCATCCCACTGAGATCACAGTTTACCCGGATGACAATAAACAATGAATGATTGAAGTGACTGCATCAGCTTGTGTCTGACAGCTTACCCTCTAAAACTGATATATGATTTGGTTTGAGGCTTAAAAAAAAAACTAAATATGAGACCTTAGGAAGCAAACAAACCCATGAAACACAAAAACTTCTCCTCCTCCTAAACTTTAGCTTTCCCCCATGCTTGTGCAGCCAAGAGAATGTAAAATCCCCTTTAAAAAAACACTCACATTAGGAATCCTTGCAGTTGTAAGAAAGGTTTAGCGTTGAATACAGAACTGTGAAAACAGCTCACTCTGAGCCGATTTAAAGCATGACTATGTACTACGAAAGGAAAAAAAACACGCACTCTTCCTCTCATCATTTCAAAAGTTGAATTCATAAGCTCGAAATGGACCACTGTTAAATTAAGTACACTTAGGGTTTTGCTTCTACAGCTTTACCTTGTATTTTATGACCAGTATCTTTTTGCTGTCATGTTAAAAACTTGAGCTCGATGTTATTCTAATGGAGTCACTTATAACGCCAGATGACTCTTATTTGCTTTGTTGCTGTTGCAGAATAATCAAGCATTTAAAATGATCATGCAACAGTGGCTACTATACAAAAACAGATACATAGTCTTGATTTAGGCCTTAAAAAAAGCCTTCAGCCAAACACTTTGAAATGTGCTGAAGCCTTTCGAAAATAAATTACAGAGTTGATTTTGATCTGCACTTCATTTGCCTCATTAGACCTTGAAACAAATGATAGTGGTGAGGACAATATTAATGCTAGAATGAGACGAACACAAGAGTTTAACAAGGCTTCAAATGACAAGAGTTCCCACAGACAAGCCTCAAATGAACCTTGTGGTAACCTGATTGTTACGTTGCTCTAAACCTTCCAGTAATGGACACGATTTTTGGTCAGTAAAAGAAAAGTGATGATCCACATAACAGCCAGTCACATTGCATTATTCAACGATCAAAAAGTATCAATATCTCTGTAGGTCCATTAAAATTGTAACTGTAGGATAAATAGGATACTGGCCTTTTGTTTTGGGTACGAACTCCATGATATGATGCAGAAGGCAGAGACGTCATCTGTGAGAAGAGTGTGTCCACAGTCTCATACACACTGTATGGAAATATACAAAGAGTTCTCCTCGGGGTAGTTTTAATTTGGTTCCTTTGTACAGTCTTAAAGTTGCAGAGGAAGAACTGATGAATGTATCAAAGTCATCACTTAGGAGGGGGGAGGGGGAGGGGGAGGGGGGGGGACAGGAGAAGCAAAGAGAAACAACATATGGGTCATGGGGGGGTACAGAAGGAAGGGGCCTGGGGTAACTGTCCTGACGTGTCAGGTGGTGGAGAAGGAGTCACTGGTCTTGATGACGTCATATCCAGTCCCTCTGCTTTTCACAAATCCAAACCAGCCTACTGAGGGAATGACCAAACCCGCTTCAGAAGTCTTCAAACGCTCATCGTCATGTTTGGTGAGTACTGCAGGGATGAGAAGCGAGAAGCTCTGTGTATGGATTTGTGCGTATGAGAGATTATCCCCCCCGTCATCTAAAAGGATACTTAATTGATACTGCCGCCATTATGTCAGATTATTTTCCTTTCACACAACCAGTGTTTTCATTTAAAATGTTTATTGCAGAAGTAGAACATAGTTTGTGTTGCATCTAGGCTCTGACCTCTTCACTCCTTGCAGATTATTTTACATACAGAAATTTGAGGAGTGTTAAGGTAAGACAATCCTTGATTGATCCCCAGTAGAGACATTCAACATGACATAATATCTTAAACCCCTAGTCAGAGCCTAAAGGTGGATGCTAGGGTGGTGGTGGGGATGAAAGCAAGAACGCAGCACTGATTCAGAGCTGGAAATGAAAGAGCAGAGGAAGAGTCTTTACTCCTTAGCTTACAGTAGATGTGTTGTCAGGTGATTGTGTATAATGACAATATGTAAGGTGTGAAGTCAGAGCAGCATAAACATCATTAATGCGAACACTTGCTTTAACACTGCACTGTCAGAAGAAAAGATTTATACCACTTGCGTGTTTGCCTTGTAGTATTCAGCTCCGGATAGCTTAGTTTAGCTAAGCTTGACATAAACACCAGAAAATTAGAAAACACCTTGCATGGATATCAAAATTGAACAAATGAACTACCTGTATTTCTAAAGCTAGTTTATTAACACATCATGTTGAGTTTATTTAATCCCAATGTCATTTCTGTAGTAGCATTTTGCTGTTAAAGTCAGGTTGCCAGGCAACAAGATGAAATCACAGAAAATCTGTCCAGGAAGTCCCATGAGCTGGAGCTTATTGTTTATAAATCTTTATCATTCAACATAACCGATTTAACTGACTTCATTATGAGCCAATTGGCTCTGTTTTGCCTAAATGTAAACCTTATCCTTCAAAAGCTTTAAAAAAATATTTTTAAGCTGAACTTAAAAAGTTTCAAGCCCTCAAACAACAAAGATCCTACATTTTACTTACACTTTCATTCTGAAAAGGGTTGAGGAAGTTTCCTCCCATCTCTCCATCCTCTCTGGGGGTCCCGGGCTGGTTACTCATACTGAGGTTACCAGGAGAGTTCTGTTAAGAAAATATGTGAAAAACAACTTAATGATAACCTTATCCTAACCCTACTAAAGCTGCTAAAATATTGTACAATTAGCCTACAGATTGGGGTGTCATAGGAGATTAATCTCTTCTTTTACCTTGGGGAGACTGTCCATGTCGCCTGACCCTGAAAGAAAGAGCACAAGTACAAAATAAACCATGAATTGATATCATCAAATGCTCATTTAGCTGAAATGATTGGGCAAATTTTCTCAAAATGTTTTGCGTCATGCAGCCAGACTGTTAAAGTAACTTGTTCTTGTACCTAATGATCCATTCATATGATGAGGCTCCATTCCAGCCATTCCACCTAACGGACCGTCTCCCCCTGCACCCATGGGGAACTGAGGAGAACATACACAGTAGACATTAACCCACCTGAATATATTTCACAGTGAATTTAATAATGATAATTTAAGAGCTTTTGAACCCACACACAAACTTAACAACCATATTCACTTAAGTCAGTCAAAGTTAGAAATGTGTCTTACATTCGGTCGGCTTCCTGCAGGAGGAACTGTGTTTATCATCGTGTACATGTTGTCACCAGAGTTGGTTGAATCTGGCAAACAAAAAGAGAGACAATAAGATGATTCAAAATAACAGGGAATACACACCCATAGAACAGAGAAACACACAGCGCTTACCTGCTGGACTTGGCATTATTGGCGTCCCTGGTGGCCCCCCTCCTCCCGGAGGTCCCTAAAACGACAATTTTGATTTCCATAAGACCTCTAAATGAACCAATGAATGACAGCCTGGAATCCCAGCTACCGTCTTTAAATCTACCAGTTTAAACTTAAACATAATTACCACATAACTTCCCGGAGATGCAGAAGAGTAAGGGGTCTGGAAAGACGAGGAATAAAATCATGTAAGATCATGTAAGAAATAAAAGAAGAGTTCAAGTTTCTTTTAAGCGTCTTTCTTCGGAGCACTTACAGAATTTGAGTTTGGAGGATTGGGCCACGGTCTACCCCCACCAGGTCCCCTGGAACACACACAAACACACACTTTAGTTTCCTGCTTTTGGCAAGCTTCCTTTTTTCCAGTTCATTTGGACAGATTTGGCAACAACAAGTCCTTCTGTTGCCTAAGAGAGGTGATGGGAACATCAAGTAGAAAAGAAAGAAGGCAAAAGAAAAGAGCTGGCTCCTAGCCCCAATTCCAGACCTACATCTACGAGCCAAGACCAAACTGTAAAGTTTTTATTAAAAACTACAGAAAAAAGGGATGTTTGTATCTTATGATGTCCCTTCGAGTGAGAGAAATAAAGGCAGACTTTTTTTCATTTACAATCTTTAATTAGAGTTACAATATGTAGAAAAAAGCACTCACATGTTCATGCCAGGCATCCCAGGACCAACAAGTGCATTCAGTGGTGGTCTCATCCCACCTCCATAGTTCTAAAATAAAGAATTGAAATGAGTTACTTACTAATAGAACAAATAGCCTGAAAATATGCTCACAGTGCATCTTGTCCTTTACCTGGGGCCCGAGTGGTACCATGCCTCTAGGTGGAGTCATCCGCTGCATCGGTCCTCCCATATTTGGATGTCCTGAATTACAGAAAAACAGTCAAATAACAGCCACACATCCGTTAGTTCTATTTGTCTATAGACTGAATGTATCATTCAGATCGTATTCTTCTGTCACTCATTTTCTGTGATATGGACCTTTATTACCTCTCTATCCAAATAAGATTCACATTCATGTTCCCTGTATTTAGCTGGACAGTGTATTTTCTGAGAGCTTCTGAAGGACGTCAGCAATTTACATAACAAGACACTATACATTTATCAGGCTAATAAGTATTGTCTGTGTAAAAGCAGATTGCTGTAGAGCTTAATTTTCAGCCCAAAACCTTCAAAAACACAAAGAGGAATCAGCATGTGGATGTGGTTTCTGTGAGCATATTAGCATGCAGACAAAGCATTAATACCTTAAAATGCTAAAGGAAAAAAAACCCATAGCATGGCTTTGGACTCTTACTCTTGATACCAGAGTAAAGATATCAGTTCTATGACATAAGCCCCTAACTTTTGTGACTAGAGATTCAAAAGATTAAAATAATACCAGTGTTGTCACTTATCCTAGCTGCGTCCTCCTGACGTACAACACATGTATTTGTGTATCCCTGTGTGTCTGTACATGTGTACCTTGCTGTCTTGTGGGGTCCATTCCACTGGGTAACATAGGCTGGCTACCTGGAACTCCTCCAAGTCCCTAAGGAGAAAAATAATAAGGTCCATAATAAGTATTAAAATCCCTCACACAGATTCATTCCACATGCACTAGCCACAGTTTGATCTGCTGCCTGCAGGTGTCAGTGTGGGTCCTACCTGATTGGGTAATCTGAGGGGGGGTCTGGGTCCTCCAGGATATCGGGGTGACATAAATGGCTGAAAAACAGCATAGAGAAAGATAAATCACCCTGGGTATATGACCGATCACATGTACTGACGGCTATGGTCAGAGTGGGTCCCCTCTTAATCACCAGCAGCCACATGTCCGATGTGTCCTTGGGCAAGACACTTAACCCCAGGTTGTTCCAGTAGCTTCGATAGTGGCGTATGGATGTGTATGAATGGATTAATTATTACTGATGGACTCTTGACATAGCGACCTCTGCCATCAGTGTGTGAGTGGGTGTCAGAGGTGCTGATTGTCAACAGGCAAGGCAGACAACTGCTTGGGGCCCCAGGCCAGTAGGGGGGCCTCGAGGGCTGACAAACTTTACACCACAGCAGTGGCTCAAAATGTGCACATTTCCCAATGACAGTAGGAACCTCCCTAAGCGGGCCCTGACAGCACTCACTCTCGATGCCCTGTTAAGCATAGCATGCATTGTTGTTTTGAAAACCAAAGAGAGAGTAACAAAAAGGAAGAGGAGCAAGCGTTGGAACACTGCTGGTGATAAACGCTGGAAAAAAACAACAACATACTAAGACAGGGCAGAAAAACTGAAATAATTAAACAAAGAAAGTTAAACATGATTAATTAATGGGATAGAATATGCAGTCCTTGTCTCCCACAAGGGCTTAGAGGGAAAACTTCATGGAGCAAATTGGTACAGTATGTTTTTGTACTCTCCAAAACAGGAAATCAACTAGAACTACTGCTTTCCATTACCAACAGCTTCATGACAAAGAGCTGTGAAGCAGATCACTTTTTTTTATTACATGGGACTGCTTCAAAACAACTAGAGAATAATAAGATGAGGTTTGCTAATAGTGATGTCATGTAAGTGTGTGCAGTTTGGCAGCATGTTTGAGAAGCTCTTTTGCAGCTGTTAGTGGTTTCTTACTTGTCCTCACCACAGACAGTAGCAATGCTGCTGTGGTCAGAAATGAAGTCTGCAGCTTTGGGGGAAGCAATGCAATAACTCTCCACTAGAGAGCAATATTAGCATTCTTTAGATCAAGCACTTTTTTGTTTAAGTACTGCCTTCTTTTCTCCCAACCGTGTGAAGGTTCAGCAAAGGAAAACATCTGCAGTACTTCCAATTTATACAAGTACTATAATAATTCAAAACTTGTTTTCATTCATGCATGAACAGATAGGGGTACAAATGAGTTTCTTAAAGAAAAGATTCAATACATAAATTACTTATATTGAAAGCTAGGTGTGGATTTCTTTATTGATATCTTGCCTGTGATCTTCTTTTTTGCCAATAAGACCCTGATAATCATAACATTGTATTCATTATGTGATACTAACTCTCTGATCATTTTATGGAACCTGAATGAAGACTGTGCATCTGGTAGTTATTGCAGCAGATAGATTGTGTCAAGAGCTTCAAAGAGAACATTTTCTTCAGAGGGAGATGGCAAAGGCTGTCCAGACAAGGAGTTTTTTGAAAGCTGAGCCGATAAATGCCTATGAACAATATTGATTTGTGTGTCAGATGTAGGCATCCGAGTTTGACGGATAATGACAGGTAATCGATGAACATCTAGCAGGGCATTCTGATGAAGAAGATGGGGGGGGGAGAGATGCATGTGGTACTCTTTGCTCGCAAAGGATTTATTTCTTCTTTCTCCTCGTAGTGAGAAACAAACAGTGGTGCAGCGCCCCTCTACAGAATATTGTGCATAGCATGTCCTGTGTGCTGATATAGACTGTAAAAGTCAAGGTAAATAAGTTCTTAAAGGATGTTCATCATGAACATGTTCATCATGAAATACTTGTAATTTATAAACTCAATGCCTAATAAGCTGGTATGCTGTGTAAAATATGAATAAAAGGAGAATGTGTTGATTTGCAAAACATTGAAACCCCAATGTTTGATTGAAAATAGCACTAAGACATCTTATCAAATGTTGAAACTGAGGAACTTCAAAAGACTTGAAAAGTCTGGGTGATAAACTGGCCTTCCTGTAGTGTCCACTTGTCACCTATTGAAAATCATTGGAGCATTATGAAGTAAAATAAAGAGAAAGGAAACCATGAACGGTCGAATAGCTGGATTCCTACATGAAGCAAGAATGGTGAAAACAATTCCCTTTCAAACGGACAGGATTCAGTCGCACAAAGTGTTGTTCAAAGAAGAAGTGATGCAACAGAGTGGTTAACATGACCCTGACCAAACTTTTTAGAACCATTTTCCCAGCATTAAACATTACATCAATGACATTTCTCAGTTCCAACATTTCATATCTTGTCTTTTTGTTATTTTTACTACTTACACGTAGTTTGTACGTCACGTATCAACTATGTGTATGTATGTGGCCTTTAAACCCTAAGATTTTGCACTTTCTGTGTCTGTGTTTGTTCAGTCAATAATATGCCATCATACTTTATCCTGTGTGAATTCACATTTTATGAATTATTTGAATGTTCAGGATCATTGATACTTAAAATATTAACAGAAACTCAAAACATCATATAATATAATATAATATTTTGCACTTCAACTGACAACAAAATTACCTCAAAAGAAGTTACAATGACCAGTTTATAGTTCAACATAAACAGAGAAGTGAGGGTGACAAATGCAAACAGACATATTTGCACTCAACACACGATGGAGCTGTTTGGACAGCATCAGTCTGTAAACAGAGACAGTAGTCTGCAGTGTTGTTCGCACACGTCACTGGTAAACTGAGGTACATGATCAATAGAAGCATATCTTTTTTATCCTCCACCTGTGTGCCCAATGGCATACTGCCTCACTATCACTGATTCCTATGCGCTCTCTCTCACTCTCAGAAGTTGTTCTGAAGTCACTGAAAAATAATCAACTAAAACTCCCAAATCTAGGGTGACATGTAATTATGCTGCTCTGACTGACACGATGATCATGTAATGAATTATATTAAAATCTCTCAACCTTGAAACACCTGCATGTGTGCGCAAGGACAAATGAAAGCAATCACACATTTTGGTATTCTACATCTTCATATCGTATATAACAGGTTAACACGAGGTTTAAACATTTTCACAAGTTGATGGTTTGAATTGTGCAAGATCTTAGGGGGTGCTCCTGCAACCTCAGCACCCCTATTCCCCTTATGTCCCTGCAATATACCTGAAAGAATCCTGGAGGAACTGGTCCCACAGGCATGCCCTCTCCTGGGGGAAGGTTCCCAAGGACGGGGCTTGGAGCTGCTGCTGCACTCTGAAAAATGTAGACACACATAAACATCTCGTGTAAGAAGTGTAAGTAAGACTCACAACACAGAGAAGCCTGCTGATACTTAAAATGTCTTTGCTTGAAAGTGACAGAGCTACAGGAAGTACATTCAGACTCTTTACACAAATAACAACTGATGTCTTTTACCACAGTTTTAACATTATTGCACAATTCATTGCTCTATTTTTTATTATAAATGTTGTACATTGCACAGCACTGCATTAACTCGACAGCTTAGTCTGTTTAAATATTAAACTGCTGTATTAATTCAACGATTTGATGGGTTTTATATTGCAATCCTGCTATATTTAAAATGACAGTCAGTGCAGCACCTCTTCTGATCATCCATTACAGCGCTCCTATAAACAAAACAAAAATTTGCAGCCGCAGTATTCCCTTCCCTCATGTCTCACTTGCTGTCTCTCCCTGCGTGGGGTATTTCCTGTTTCTGCAGATGCCCTTCCATGCTGGCCCAGGTTTATTTTTAAGCCTCGTGTTTTTGTTGTGTTTGTCCCAGACAGGCGGTGCTGGCACATTTCAGCACAGCCTTTGTCTGCATCCTGTGGCATTGTGCTACTAACCAACCCATGGCTACCACCCAACACCGGCCTCTTCCTCATCCTCATTAGAGCGCACGACTCGCAGTGTGGGAGAGTGTACATCCATATATATGATAATGTGTGAACAGTGAGCACATAAAGCCAGCACGCCTGTGTCTGTGTGGATTTTTTTTTTGTTCCCCAGTATCTGCCCACTCTGTTCTTTCTCTCTGATCTCCCCTCTCGCTTGCTCTCCCTCTCTGAAGGCATCGGCTGGGTGCAAAAGAGCTCCAGTGAAATTCACCCACAGTCTCTGAAGTTTCCGGCAGCTGACTTTTTAGGTCAGACAGGAACAAGGTTTAATCAGAGCTGAGATAAAAGCAGACTGACGACACCACTGCATCCTCCTCTACTCCACCAGCACGCTCACTATTCCCTCATCCACCCTCCTTCTCCTTCATATCTCCCAGCCGTTACTGTTCAGCTACCGGGAACAGGATGCCGTGCAGCCTTTTAAGTCCTTATTCAGCTGCAAACAGAGCCTGTTTCTGTCCCTGCAGACGAATGTACAGATGGACGCAGATGGATACTGTATCTCCATGCTTCAGTGGTGAGAGACTGGCATTAGTTTATTTGTTTGTGTGTGTTTGTCTCAGTGTACAACATCATGCACAGCATCAAGTGTGTGTTGTAACTTTGTACATCTATTTTCCTTTCTTTCCCTCAGCCTTCTCACACTCTGGATTACCCAGAATGCCTTCCCTCCCTGGCAGCCTGGAGGTCTGCTGAGTTTGCCTTCACACTTAGAGAAAGAGAGGCAGAGAGGGAGAGGACAAAGTAGAGATTATGAGCGTACATGTGAGAGCGTGCGTGAGTGTGCGTGCCTGTATGTGGAATTGAGTGCGAGTGCACTTTATGTTTGTTTGTGAAGAAAAAGTAGAACTGGGGGAGGAACAAAAATCTACCTGACCTGCTGACAAAGCAGCATTTTCCAAATACAGCAAAACAAACAACCTCAAAACCTGCACGACCATGCCTCTATGGAAAACAACACTGGTCTATAGAACTGTAGTCTCTTTAACTAACAGATTAACTCATAACTTGATGATTTGCACTGAGAAGAATATACAAACCCTCTCAAGAAGAGGACCTGCAGGTCTTTTTACCAGTTTGTTGTAAATTCCTGCAGCATGATATAAAACTATTGCAAAACCTGAACTCCTGAAGTGACACCCACAATCTGCAAGCTTGACTTTGAAACAGGGAGGACAACAAGCATGTCCCTGTCAAAACCTACCCACCAGTTCCCTCTTTACTTATCAACATGTGAGGGTCATAATGTTCTCATATCACTCTCAGCGAGAAAAAGAATCATCATTGTTCTTAAAAATGTCACACTACTCATCCAAGTGACTGCTGTTTCTATATTGTATGTAATTCTTCAACATGACAAGTAGTAAACACATAATGCTAGCAATCTGATTTATGGTTTGCCTTCATGTAAACTATGATTTTGGATTTTCGACACTACTAAGTGTATTTTTGTTAATCAACAGAAAATGTTGCTGCCATATAAACAAATAAATGAAATTGAGTAGCACTAAAACAAAACAAAAAAATCATCAAAGCTAGTATCAGTGCAACAGTTTGTGACTGAGTCGAATTAAATCCAATAGTGTAAAACTGGTTGGACTACCATATCAGTTTATGCTATCTCATTGCAGAAATATTGGAATCTGTTGGTCATCAGTACAAAATAAAAGATATTTTGGCTGTTAGTCTTTATGTGTGTGTGTGTGTGTGTGTGTGTGTGTGTGTGTGTGTGTGTGTGTGTGTGTGTGTGTGTGTGTGTGTGTGTTGCATTTAAGTCCAGAAATGCCAAATATGTTTCAGGTGACTTTTACATTTTGAACTTCAAACAGTTAACGGACTGAAAACTGTCTCTAGCATTAATGAAGAACCATCCAAGTCTGTCTAATTGGACTGATTGGTATACTGTATGATCACAAAATGAGTGTTCATATAGTATAGTATAGTCGGCTAACGGTCAATAAAGATTTTTTTTACTTGACAAAACCATGTATCTGTATCTTAGCAACACTTAATGATTTTGCATTTGAACAACTTGTAATTGCTCTGATGGTTGTAGATTAAAGTTAAATCAAAGATACTGACATGCTAAGACTTTAACCTCATCCATTCACAATCTTTGCAGTTGCCCGTGGCTGTTAATAATTGTGCTGACACTGAGATTGCACAGCTTCACCTCTTGTAATGTGACCACATCAACGCAAAGCAATTAGCTCAACAGCGTAGTGACCAGCAAATTAATGTCGTCCCTCTTACACTTCTGTAAATGACTCTGAATTAGACTCAATGATTCACTGCCAAGCTCGAACACATTCCAGCACTTAGCCTTTGTGAACATCAAACAAACAGAGATTGTTACACACTGTTAATGTGACCGTCATTTACACTTCTCACACATCAGTGTTTACACTTTTCGACAAGGCTGAGTGAGAGGAACAATATGACATTGAGCTGATTGTATCATATACTCTGCTGTTTGCATTTTTGTGTAGTTAGCCTTTGTGCATTTTTTTATTGAGATTAAACCGAGGCAAGTGCCACTGATGATGTTCATTCTAATAGACCTAATGGGTTTATTACTGATTCAATTTGCTGACAATTAGTGAGACCCATCGTAATATCCAGATTAACCCTAAAACATACATCGGACTGCTTGCTTCATAATAGCTCAACTCTCCTCTGCATATCTAATCAAAGTTCTCCCTTTAACTTTCTCAACTAGTCTATCCATACAGTAACCCCATTAACCTTTTGATTTCATGCTTCATCACATTGGTAAATGTTTACTCTTTGTATCTTGTTGTATATAATGACCCTGGGATTTGCCGTTACTGGGGTTATAACCAAGAAGTGTTTGTGATGAAACCTGAGGCAGTAGAACAACCCCACATGTCCTCAGATGAACACCTGCATCTCCTGGCCAACTCATTTGTTGTATAAATTATTCAAACCTACAGCCTCCGGTAGAGCGATACAGTACACCAGACAAACACAACAAGATGTCAAATACAGTGAACAACGACTGAACTACACTAACAAACAATGCCCTGCAAAGAGACAACATGTCCAAAAAGAGGGGTAAATACCATCAGTAGCTGTAAGACAAACGTAAAGGCTTTTAAAAACTAGTTAAGGAAAATACCTTTTTTTGGGGAGTGTGAAAAGCAAAAATTGTGTTTCACATCAGCTAAAGCATCCCCAATATATCCCACATTATTAAAAAACATACAAATTAAAGCATAAAAGTAATGCAAAGCTCAAATTTCTCTGCATGTTACTGATATAGGAGCACTTTTAGTTGTCTTATCAAGCATCGTTTTGTTGACATGACTGCAGTAATTGCTAAAGAGAGAGTTAAATTATTATGGTAAAAAATAACAATTTAATGTAAATATCAATGAAGAATTATGCAAAAGTGATCCAAACATGTGCTTACCTGAATAAAATGCAAAAAAAAACAAAAACTGGAAACACTAAAATGTGTTTCAATTACACAAGTGTTTCCTTCTTTAAAACCTAATCAGACACTCTCCCTACTACATTCACAGTACACTAATCCCATCCGACTAAAGGGCTTAATGAGATAACTTTCAAACTCCTGCATCCTTATATGTTTACCCATTGTGTTCCTCATTAATGTGTGCGCTTAATGCATGCATGCTTTGTGTGTGTGTGTGTGTGTGTGTGTGTGTGTGTGTGTGTGTGTGTGTGTGTGTGTGTGTGTGTGTGTGTGTGTGTGTGTGTGTGTTTCTGAAGGTGGAGAGTCATTTTCATTCAATACTTCAGAGACCGAGAGACACTCAGAGGTTCGTGAGTAGAATCTCAAAAGGCTGTCTCTCTCTCTCTCTCTCTCTCTCTCTCTCTCTACCTGCATCGTTGTCTGCTTTCTCCACCTCACGGTGTCTCACAGGCACACACAACTTCTCACACATATCAGGTTTTTAAAAAAATCATATAGCAGCTTATATCAACATGATTCTACCACTCGTCAGGAAGTAGTATCAAAGGACAGCTCTGGTGATATGCTTTGTTTTTCTGGTTGTCAACAGATGCCAGTGTTGCGTAAGCATCCTTCATTCTTTGTCGTCCACACATTTAAACACCTAAAGAGACACACTGGGTGAGCTGTTCATCCACAATGGGCACAGATTAAATACTCCCCAAACAACGCCATATGAATTATGTTTTACTGATTGAGCAGAAAACTCAAATGGAAACTTAAATGCTTTAGGGAACAAAAACATGTTGTGCTGTAATACACATGTTCCTTTGTAATATTCTTCTTGATACAAACCTAATTTGAAAGGAAATATGTCTTTTTTTTTCTCGGTTAAATGAGAACACTTGAAAGGTACT